ACTGACATGTGTCATTTGCCGCACATTTGACAGCGCACTCTGTATTATCATCTACCTGACTTGTATCAAAAGTGTGACCAGTCAAGGCAAAATCTACCAAAATAAAGTCGCAGAATTAAAAGCCCATGTTAAAGACGTCCTCCGCCGTAAAATTTATTGTAGCAACACGTTCTTATGTCCAGAGAATTCCAGCCTCCAAATGGCTAAGTGGATTTCTCTGTGAGAGTTACCCATTAAAATGGTCACCTTCAACACACCGACGTTGAAACCATTGATGACTCGGGCTTCCTTTGGAATGGCCAGGTCTAAATCCATAAACCTTCTCCTTAATTTGGCTACAAACCTATAATAGTACTCTAAGACAGCGTGAACATGCGTAGTTGACTTAAAGCATGTCCATAAATTCAAATTGTTTTAAGAATTTTTCCGAATAAAAGTCGAGTATCAAATACAACATCGGGGCAGGCTTTTATGTGCACATCCTAACCAGGAGAGGATAAAGGGGACAGAGAAGGCATCCCCCATACACACCCTATTCCATAGGTAATTCGTCTCGAGTTATTTTTAGAATCGGGATAAAGTTACCTCGCGCGCTGCGTGGATGTTTCGTGGAGGTTTCGCATGACTTAACGCCGTGCAAAACACAAAAGGCAATGAAAGCGTAAAGAGATCGAGACCATTTCTGAATATTGAAGCGAAATGAGTCGGCGCTCACCTGGGAATGGGGAATCGCTGGACTCTTTGACAACCCGTGAAATCAGTTTAACTCGAAGTTGTCGTAACCTCAGTGCTTTAATGAAATGAGAAATTTCGCCGCAGGTCCATTGAAACTGGTCGTTTGTACAATAAAGCAAGTAGGACGCCAAGTGTTATTTTTGTTGAATAATAAAAGACTAATAAAAGAATAAATATCAAACCACAAATTGCTCTCTTCAAACTGTAAATTATAAATGATCCTGAGAGAATATTCAGTGTGATAAGGATTTCCCTGCTGTACTGTTAGCTCTATACAAGAGAGGAAGGGCGATTCTTTTTTAATTTCCATTTCGCGGACAGCGCTTTGGTCAAAACCAATAGCAATATCGCTCTTCGCGTCTTCCGCCATTTTTTCAGCGTTAATTCGTGAAGGACGCGTGGCTCATCCACGCGGAACACATTCACGCTATGTGATTGGCTGTTGTCTAATCCCCCTTGGGATCTGTGGTTTTGAAAATAACTCGAGACGAATTACCTATGGAATAGGGCGTGTATGGGGGATGCCTTCTCTGTCCCCTTTATCCTCTCTTGTCCTAACACATTTTAGCAGAATTGAACGAACAAAGACTACGCTAACATGTTCGCAACGCCCAAATACACGTTATGACAGCTTCTTGAAATGCAGAAACTACGCTGAAACAGCCAGAGCAGGCACCTGTGAACTGATCATCGATTGACAGTCCCCAAGCGTCGATTTGAGGGACAGATGACCACTTCAATATACAATAACAAAATGATTTGGGATTACATCGGGAGAAATGGTCGGACATTTACGCATATCAATGAGCCATTGAGGAGGACTAATCAGGCATGAATGCGCCTAGAAAGCTGCATATAAATAATAGAGAAAACGGACGATTTTGGCGCAGCAGAGTGACTAAAGTCGTCATTTCGGTTGTTAAAAAGATGACTTCTTTAGCATAGAGCGGATTCTTTAAGTTAAAGGAGTAATCTATCATAGAGTACTAAAGTGTGACGTCATAAAAATGAAATTTCTGAAATTATGGGATTTGTCAGGATATTCTTAAAGAACAATGTCCAAGAGGCCTACTTGCCAAAAATGAGCATTTGGGGGCAAATTGTCTCTGAGATCGTAGCCCAGTTATGCTTACAAAACTCCATACAAACCCTTCTAAATTTTTCTTGGGTCGACCCCCAAAAAAAATTAGAAGGGTTTGTATGGAGTTTTCTGAGTATAACTGGGCTACGATCTCAGAGACAATTTGCCCCCAAATGCTCATTTTTGGCAAGTAGGCCTCTTGGACATTGTTCTTTCAGAATATCCTGACAAATCCCATAATTTCAGAAATTTCATTTTTATGACGTCATCACTTTAGTACTCTATTCCAGCTAAATTTTAAGTAAAATAAATGAAAATTAGGTGCAGACTTTCAACATTGAAAATCAGGCTTTTTATGGAAAACGACTTTGTCCAAATTGGACATCGAATTTGTTTTGAGTCGAGTTAAAAGCATTTTTTTTTCGCCTATTTCTGTCCCTTTTCTTAAATATCTAGCCAAGATTTCATTCAATCGAAAAATGACTCGATTAGTTTGCAGTCCTTGGTTCAATAATTTTCCGAGAAATGATTTTTGGATGATTTTTCGAATGTTTTTAATGCAGAAAAATTGGGGGGGGGGTATTAAGAAATTTGGAAAATATGAAGTATTGGATTTGAGGGTTGTTGAAAATTAAATATGAAGAAAAAAATTAGTGGGCAAATACCAGATAGTCCACCACCACAAGGTGCCTCTCATACCATTAGCGGACTAACCTTACGTTTTATGCGTATACCATCTTTTCTATCCAAATTCATTTCGTTCCCTAAACAATATAATTCCCCCAAAATACACCCAGACTGTCCCCTTGGAGCTTGGAAAGATTTTTTATTTGTTAACGTCACTAAACTAAATTGTCTCTCTCACGCACTTGCTTAAACGCACTTGCACGGTTTGTGTTTTACGCATGCGCTTTGCTATCACAGCACTTTAAAAATTTCTTTTCAATCACTGTAATGCGACCACCCGTAAATTCAGGTGCATGAAAAACTTTCGTTTAAATTACAGCTTTAAAAACTCTACTGAGTAAGCTGCTTCAAAGCTATATATCAAAAGAAAGAAAAACAAAATGGAAAATCTTTCATGATTTAAATTAAAAAAAAAAAGGAAAATCTTTCATTTAAATTACAGCTTTTAAAACTCCACGGAGTAAGCTGCTTCAATGCTATATATCAAAAGAAAGAAAAAAAATGGAAAACGACATCGTTCATGATTATTTTAAATCCCTTTAGTCGTTTATTGATAGATAAAATCTGCCGTGCTTACACAGAAAAAAATCGCAATAATTGAGAACAATAACAAACAAAAAATAGATTTGTGAGGCTGAAAAAAAAATTCGAAAAAGTTGCACTTCGTTTAACTTACGATGCGCACTCAAGCAAACTATCACAAAAAAGCTAAAACTGATTGGCATTGCTTAAAATGTTTAATTTCATCCCAAGATGGAGAACAAAGCTAAAATTGATTATCATTGCTTAAACTGTTTAATTTTATCTCAAAGATGTAGAACAAAATTCCATGCCTTTGAAACAGTTGGGACAGGTGAACCTAGGATTCTGAAAGAGTCTTGAGTGCACTGCACGTCACAAGTTTGCAAATCAAGACATGATGATCAAACACGTACCTGAAAAACTTTCAAACAAGTTACCACAGTAATCTGGTGCAGATAAGAGTAGAGAGGTCCTCAAGAATATCAGTACGAATGGAATATAAATAGATAGAAACATGGTGACAACAATCGCTACAAATAGAACGAAACAAGGAACGGTGACGAATTTAAACACAAAGTAGTCTTTTACAGTATTTACTGTAAAAAAAGCCATAATATACAACTAGTATGGTAACAAAAACAGAAACAATCTAGCTGAAATGAGCTTCTTACCAAACTTGCATTTGTCTAACAAAGTGGTAACCAGTTCATTCTCATCTACAACAATCCAATCTATAATACACGCTTACATGAGAATGAAATTACGCCTGAAATCATTACTATGGATAACTGCTGGCTTAGTTAAATAAACAAGGACACTCTGATTGGTAGTCAGAGCTGCATGAGCGGCTCTATTTTTTTGTATAGAAGCCCCAATGGCTGACTGCTTTCAAAGTGATTTTACACCTAATTTAGTCTCTCAGTAAGTGAAGAAGCCTTTTTTACAACAGGATAGAAGAATCATGCTTTCCTTGTTCTCTGTCTACCATTTTGAAAAACCTTCCGAAAATTAAATAATGTCTTAAGAAAATGGTGTTTGTACTAACACTTATTAATTAATTTACAATTTGAGTTTTGGTAATAAATATTTTATTCGTTTCCGCGGTAACAAGCAAAAAAGAAAAATGAATAAAACAAAAAATGAAAAGGCCAACAACATCAATAACCCAAAATCTGGAAATCAAGAAACTTGACTGATTGTTTTCGGGTTGTGTTCTTCTTTCCGGAGATGTACGTAGACATGGGCATCAAAGTTTTAAACCTGTAAGGCGGTTGATGTCTTACAAATTAAACTTGAATTTTCCATGCAGATGGTTAATAATTAAAAATGATGATAAAGGCGCACTACAAAAAGCAATTTCTTAACAGCTGTAAGTTATTTAGTTATTTATTCATAGAGAGGCAGTACGGAGATTGTTTTAATCAATGTTATGCACATCCTGCTGTTTCTGTTAAGGGAAATGTTAATAGGTCTAGCAAGTCTTATGGCTAAGCCACCGAAGCGTTGCCTTTCAAGCGCGCATTGCTTAGACTTTAATATGACCTCGGTTGTATCTTTTACGTAAAGGCTAGTGGGACGGAGCAAGTGACTGTAACCAAAAAAATCAAATAAAACATATATATCAGCTTATATCAGGGTTAACAATCCCAACTGGTCGGCAGGATGCAATTCATTTCGGTCAGTTTACAAGTGTTGTCCAGGATTTGGACTCGGGACTCCGATCATCGCTCATTTTGTACCAGTAGAGGCGGTGAACAAGTATGAAAAAAAATCATAAATTAATCAATGTCAAAAAATGGACAGCTCACTTTCCTGCGAATTATCGAATTATCGAACGTGGAGGGAGAGAGGGGAGAAGGGCTTTTTAAAAGCCCTCCCCAAGTTAAATAACTTGAACAACTATTAAGCTTTGACCACCAAGTTTTCTATAAACTAACTGGGACTATTTTAAATTTTCGTGACTTGCACTTCAGATCCTTTGGCGGCAACGTTCCCATGAAAACGATTTTTAACAGCCATTTTTTTTTTAATTTGGCGAGGAATGTTTATTTCAATACAGTTTATTTCTATATTTCTTGATCGAATTATTACAACCTTCTTTTTAATAATTTATTAGCTTTATCAAATTTTCTCAACTATCTGTTATGTAATCTGAAGTTAGGGAAATAAAACAACAGAAATGTATTATTCATTCTGGACCTCAAGGCGACTCAGCTTTCCCAAGCCTCTAAACTAAGTATGAATCTAAATGATGCCGAAATTGGTTTATCAATGCAGCCAAAAATACGAGCTAGTTTCTCGTGTCCCTCTTCTCTTAAGCTCTTGGGGTCTTGTCATTGAAAGATTCGCCCCACATAAAGGAATCGAAGAGAGTCTTGGATTCTCGATTCCACGCCGTGGATTCCGGATTCCAGGTACTGGATTCCGGATTCTTTGTCAGTGGAACTTGGATTCTGAATTCCAATTCTCAGTAGGATTCCGGATTCCACAAGCAAAAATTTCACAGATTCAGGAATCCGGATTCCCTTGCATGGGACGAAAAGATATTGGAAAAGAGGTTGCCACTAAAAGCCTACTGAAACCACCATTTCTACATTCTACTAGCTTACGATAGTATTTACACGGATTCACATAATGCCAGACAAAATTGATATGACATCGTCCAGGTGAGAAGTACATATTCGAAAGAAGCTTAGATAAAAGAATTTCGTGTTGCCATCCAGTTTTCCTCACTTTCAACGTTGTTATAAAAAAGGTGCCTTGAAAGAAAAAAACTGTGTAATTTTCTTATCATGCAGGCTACAGATTCATCGATTTTGTAAGTATTTTACCATTTTACCATTAGCGCACTGAGCCTGAACACAGTCAAGCAGTCAGCATTTTTTATCCTTCATTTTCAGCGAACATAGATTTTCCAGAAATCTTCTGTAGAAGTTGCAAAGACATTGCCTTTTGACTCATCACAGAGCCATACGTTGTTATAAACAACCCAGTGATATCGGTGGGCAACAAACGCAGAATGGTCGTACATTCGTCGTTCTTCGTTTTTGTTATAGTGACCCCATTTTCCAACATAATGTGATCCATCGTTTCCCCATCGGTGACACTGTTGAGCTAAGTACGAGTTGTCGTCCTTCATTGTAATGAACGAACCACACGAGGCTGGCAGAACACTTGACTGACCGCTGAAATACTGTACTACAGCTTCCCCAGTGCTGTTATTGACCGTGATGACGTGAAAAGTGTGCCCATTTTCTTTACTACAGTGGAATCTCAGTTGAGTGAAGTTCAAGTGCGACCTCAGTTGACGCATGGCACTTGTACTAATGCCCATTAAGTTATTCTGATAGTTGCTGATCCCGCGGTATGAAGTTTCAGCGGTCCAAGCAGGGGAAGAGTCGGCTTGCTTTAAGGTGGCAACATTAAGCCAGCCCCCTGAAATCAACATAATTTTTTATTTCCAGGTGCAAGAATCTTTGCCGTTTTATTACTTATGAGTTAAAGCTAGATATTTGACAGTGAGAGTCGACGAGTCTGAAGTCAAGCAGAAATATTTTCTATAATTAACAGGAAGCAAAAAGGCCAAAGTTACAATTGGCAACTGATTTCCAGTGATTGTGTAATCCCTGCCTTTTTCAACGAGTTGACATATAAGACAATAGATATAGAGGATATTACATGGCCGCTTGGGGATACGAATTTTATCTTCGAGTGCTGAAAGTATCTCTCACGACTGAGAGAAGAGAACGAGTGAGAGATTCTTTCAGCTCGAGAAGATAAAATTCGTATCCCCAAGCGGCCATGTAAGGTTCTGTTTATTTTATAGATACTGATGAAATTCCTACATAAAACACAACTTTTTGAAACTCTTGTAATTCTTGTTATTGGCTAATCATGTTAGTAACCATGGCGACACCGATATCCTCACACGTGACAGATAAAAATAGTATCTTCACTGCGCGCGATGAAGATATGATTTTTTATTAAAAGAGAAAATCCTAGTATGTCATCAGTATCTATATAATAAATATTTTTTCTTTACCTCCATCAGTTGTCATATCACAAAGGACTTTTAAAGGCATGCCATTATTCTCAGGGTCGATCCAGTACTCTCCGTCCCTTGTTGAATCACCAGAGTCCCGGATGTGCTTACAGGAATGACCAGGGCTTGAAGAGAAATAACCAAGTTTCTCTAGACACAGAAGGAGAAAAATAATCCATTGAATTTTATTTAATCTTTCCTAAGCTAAATTTTAAGGCTGTTAAACAGTAAAACGTGTGACGAGGTTGCCAAAGAAATGACCGGAAGACAATACCCTTTAAACACAAACCTTAAAAAGCTATGTCATGTTAATTGCTATCTTTATATAAAGCTAACTGAATGTGTCTTGGCATCAATATCTAAGACTATAGGTAGGTATTGAACTGTTCCGTGTAGTCAGTTATTAAGGATGGCATGGAGGCGTGTATTGAAACTTGAAAAAATTGGGCCAATGATTTTCAAATTTTAATCATTGCTCGGTGCCTGCAAAAAATCACCAAAAAATTATTATTGTTTAGTGCTCCCTGATGGAACTTGTTTGATATCTTCTTTAACGGATCATTTTGTGTATGGGTGATGGCACTATTTTAGTGATGAGTTTAGCCCAGACCTAAAACAACGACATCCTTGTGAAATGGCTGACCGATAGCCCCTACAACAAAATCGTTGCGTTTTCCATGATACTGACACCCATTGTCTCTTATAATGAACAAGAGACTGAATTAGGTGGATCAGTTCTGCTGACAACCGGTCTCGTTAGTTTGGTTTCTTTTGACAAACAGCGAGGTACCAATTCAATCATCTCACACTCACTTGATTGACAGGTCACGCCCTTGAATCCAGGAGGACATGAACATTGATTTTGATGTGTTATCCTTTGTCCGCTGTTTTGACAGATAAACTTGAAATTCGCCACCTAAATTTAAAACGTTTGAATTTCAGCTTTGATGGATGAAGATGGTTAAGGATTACATTCATAAAAAACAGGCCAAGGACGAAAGAAAAGATTTAAAACTGATCGTACTATTACATATATTGCCGAGTGATTTAAAAAGGGAAGTCTGGTGGCTTAAACTTGAAACATTAACATTCACATTTCTTGTTTTCTCTCCTTCGAATGATAAAACTAAAACAGATATTAGCTACACGTAGACTGAGCCCTCAACAGGAATCGGACCCTCGACTTTCCAGTTAGCTGTTGGAAGCTTTAACTCCTGAGAAATGGGTGACTCATGTGATGAGCAGGTCGCTAGCTTGGGGTATTCTAGATCTCTCTTACCCATGTCATAAGACCGAGGTTTTCTTTTCCTTTTTATTTCATATAACGTCTGATATGCAACTGACATTACTGATGATCATCGTGAACACTCTGAAATCCTACACGAAAACCAGTAGAGAAAGATCAATTCCGCAATAACTTTCTCAAACTCCGATCTGACCTTTAAAATCGTATATTTCATATCAAACTCTGCATTTCTTCAGCCATTTGTCTGATCAGTCATATTATCTCAGTTCAATCAATCAATCAGTCAATAAACCAACCCGTTAACCAATCATTTAATAAAACCAACAACACAAAAAGCCTTTATTTTAAGCATGATGTTCACATAGTGCATACCTGACTAAGCTCAAAGTAAGTCGACCTTTTGTCTGCCTTGTAGTTTTCCGGTTTAGACTTCCTTGTCTCTGCCTTCAAATGACACACTTGTAATCTTGAATTTTCGGGAATAAAACAGTTGTATGACTGACAGCTCTCATATCGCAAACATCGTAATCCGCACTCAATACAGGAACCTGCATAGTAATAACTGATTGTGGAGCTCAAAAGAGAGTAACCTGGAAATTAATGACGACGACCAGTTTAATAGGCAGACATATTTTTAGAGAATGTTAAGAAGCCGTTTGTGATTCACGTCGTAAAAACTTTCGTTTTTGAATTCACGACAATAATATAAGATAGATCTGAAATCATTTAGTAGTTTGGATGATATAAACAACCTTACTAATACAAGACGTACATGGCTGTTCGGCTTCGCAAAAACATTCTTAAGGGCAATTCTAGTCAGACGTCATCAAGACATCAAAGGACCGTTCATTATACTGCATGAGAGTTTTCTGCAATTTGATCAGCAGAGAGCAGCTGTATTTCAGCTTTCAGTGGTTTCAAAACTAATAGCATATGTATCACTCATGATATTTCAATAGTCACAAATTTCACTCGCCATTTGCCATTGTATCTTGATATATTATTGATAGCATTAAGTATCCCATGAAATACTACTATGAATGAAGCTATTGTACCACTGATTAAAAACTGAATGAGTTATTGTAAAAAGAAGGAAATTGCCTTAACAACTCTTAAATCGCCATTGATTGAAATTTCAATGCTGATTAGTAGGGGATCTTCTTTGAAAAGTTCGGTAGAGTTTGCTAAGATCCCCTGCATCTGATTGCATACTTAATAGGATTTCGTTACAAATGTTGGGCGAAATAAATTAATAAAGGTTGCAAATAATTAGTTATAATGATAATACTTTCTATATCATAGAATCTTTGTAAGTTTATCTTATTTGCATTCATCGATATGTTTCAAATGGTTTCAGAGCTTAAATATGTAATTTGTAATCAACACCATCTTTTAAACCAAAAAAAATTGAAGTTGTTTTACAAAGCCAGGGGTTGGAAATCTTCTCTTCAATTTTTCTGCGTTTTTGTCAGAGCGGATGGACCTTATTCAACGAACATTTTATAACTTGTTGTGGCTATAACCTGTTAACGCTAATGGCCTCATTTGTTCGAATTGTGGATAGCGCTTTCCACTGGATAAATTACTATCCACTGGAAAGCGCAATTGGTTTTCGTAATACCTATCCTCTGAATAGCGATTTATCCGGTGGTTAGCCGCGCTATGAAAATTTTGAACAACCGGGGCCTGATGTCTACGCTAGCCGGATAGTTCAATTTTCATGACGACATGAACAGCATCCGTTAAACACCTGTTCATACTGCGCCAACTGGGAGTTGCAAAATATCATGTCGATATGTGGCGCCGATTCACTTTCAAGATGCTGCGCGGTGCAGCTTTGCTCCTATACAGAAAACGCGCCAAAATTTTCCTTCTTGTGTGTTAGTAGGAGCCCGGCTATCGGATATGGGTCTCGAGACGGTGCAAGAGCGACGCGGTCTAGAGTCAAGTAATAATAAACAAAACAGATTTGAAACATGGCGGGTCATGCAAAATATCAATCAGAGAATTCAGTTATTGCTCTTACAAGAAGCAAAACTAAAAAGCCAGTGAAATAAAGAAAATTGATTTGGTTACCTGTAAAACTTAAGCGTTGATGTCATCTACCAAACCTTCTGAACCTTCGAACCACTGACTTCCAAAACATACTTTAAAAATTCTTAGTAAACACTGGATCTTTGGTTATATCAAGTTTGACGAAACTTAAATTTTTATTCGTTCTGAAAACTCACCTTTATGAATCTCGACAAAGCTTGAAATGGATTCTAGGTTTGTAGCTGATGAAATACTCGTCTTGTGAAATATAACATCGCGGTTAAATGAGAACAAGACCAACCAACATACGCACACTGCTTTTGACATCATCAACGTGATCATCGGTAAAACAAGGTCTTATTGCACAAACAGAGGAAATGATAGTTTAAAAAAAAATTGATTTTCCATATACATAATTTTAATTAAAAAAGGAGAAGGTTGGAAATGAATGCGTGTTTATGTAACAATAACCTAAAATCAAGAATAACAGAAAATATTTATAACGAAGAGTTAAAAAAGAGCTTGAGCTATTAAACACGCACCTGGTAGTATCTTCGCGTTGAGCTGAAATGATACCATTAACAATCAAGTGGGTTTTCTGCAAACCGAAAATAGAAGTAATATCCAATCACCCCACCGCACCTAAATTAAATTTTTAGTTGCTTATGATCAGCAGTCTACAGATTAGCTTTCTAGTTGTGTATATATCAGCAAAGGTTGAAGGAATTAAAGACAGTAAAAATAAATTTCTGATTGATGGACAAAACCTATTCTAATGATAACAATTAAGATCACTAAATTATTAAACAACTAAGAACAAGAATCTCCCTTTATTACACATTGGATTGACCCCTTCTCCATTGTTGTCTCCAATTTAGTTTGATATACTTCTCTAGGAAAAAGCAGTCGGAATTATTAGGTTCTTTTTCAGCTATTGATGGGAAAAGCCTCTAGGACTGATCATCACCAGTAAGAAACTTCTTTCTTTTTCCACTATTTTATTCCCGTTATTTTATTTTCAAATAAACAGGAGTTAATGTCACGTCTTTTATTTTTTTGCTAGACTATAATCTCGAAACTCTATTATAATTATAAACCACCAGGGGCATTTTTCATTTTAAGGCCTTCATTGCGAGACATTTTCAGCCACATCTCACAGTGCGCGTGGGTTTCTTCTAATCAAAGTAGTCAAGTTTTCACAGCGTGCATGACAGTTTTTCGCGTTGAAATAAGGTGCTTTTTCAATTCACTTACCCGGCAATCCGGTCCAATCAAAGTCACACAGACTCTGGAAGTCTGGAAACAAGGATACATGCACACCTTTCGTAAACTTGAACTCACGCCGCGGCTTTCACGTTAATATTAAAGCAATATTTTAGCGTGAAATCTTACCTTTCCATGGCAATATTTCTATTTTTTCTTGACAGACATCTTTTCTAGTTTGCATGTGATTGTTTAAAGAACCTGTTTTCCTCATTTGCCTCTTGTTTGAATTTCTTGCATAAGTTTTTTGCAGAACTGAATTGTAACCAATCAACCGGGACGACTGGTCAGAATTTCGTGTTGGCTGGTGACGTTTTTGAGCGAAAGCCATTGTAAGTGAATGCTCAGTTATTGTCTCTATTTTTTACGTCCGTCGTACATTTGATGGCTCTTAAAATTTCATTATTCACTGGTGTCTAAGCTACGCAACTACCTCGTTCAACGAACTGACCCATTTCCTTAACCCTTTGGCGACCGGCAGCCTGGGCTGATTTTCTGCAAATTAGCACTGGAACGGCAAAAAATGAGTTTTGCAGCATGAAGGAAGGGTGATGTTTTCCCGACTAAGTAATCGGATGTTTTTTAAAAGCAGTTTTTCCTTTTTTTCACCCACATTTTTTTTGCGAACACTTCGGTCTTTCTTCTGTTTCTTTCTCGCTCTCCTTTTTCCCTTTGCCTTTCTTTTTTTTGTATTCAGTTTGATGCTAACAGGCTTTAAGCTCATTCTCTCTTGGTCGCTGATATTTATAGTTTTAACCACAGTTGCTTCATTAAAGCAGTTACTGGTCGCAACTTTGCCAAAAGGTGGAGTCAAGGCCCGGTTCATACCCCGTACTTCCATTGAGCCAAATCGAGTTCGAATTTAGGCCTACTCGGATTAATTTAAACCGGCTGAATTGATTCAGACTCTGATCTTCACTCCAGTCGAACTAAATTTCAGAGACGCGCATTTGTTTTACCTCATCTTGAATTCGGCGTCTGAATCAACGCCCGTCCACGGCCCGCGTTCCCGGCAGAGCCAGGTATGGAGAACGGCCGAGCCGATCCAAATTCAATTGACCGTTTGGAATAGATTCAGCAGCAGTACTTCATATGAACTAGTTTCACAGAATTCGATTCAGTTCACGTGAAGTACCTATACAGCGTTTGAACTGGGCCTCTGTCTGCTGACAGTCGGTGTTAAATGGTGACCCAGTAGACCTGCACCGTTCTAAACCTCTTATTTCATAGGCCTCCTTTAATCTACACTTCTATTGTTTTCAGGGATAGGGGCATTGTTATATGACAATCCCTGTTGTTTTCCCAGCTAATCACAGACAATCTTTCAAATAGGTGCGGGATCGCCCCAGTAGACCTGCGTAAAGATACAACAGTTTGTATAGATTTTTTAAAATCTAAAAGAAAGATCAAGGCAATGGTTTGCGCGCAAAGCAATTTTTATAGTGCACGTGAGTACATTAACGCTTTGCTTGTTTGTCACACAAGGGAAAAGAGGAGTAAGTTGTTGTCTTCAGTTACAAAGTAGGACATTAAATAGAAGCCCTTCATGATTGGATAGACCAAGATATCAGCTCCCTTTTTATTGGCTGATAACTGCCCCATTGTCATTTTGCTCATAAATTTGAATTGGTACCCGGATGGTTGGGTGGAACCGTGATACACATCTCTACCGCACAGGTTATCGAAACGTCAGTCACTGTCAACAACAGTCCTATTCAGGATTATGTTCACCCAGACGATCATACTCACAGTTATACACACCTCTCCAGCGTAAATCCTTAATATTCACATTTCCTTCGGATACGTGTCAAAGTCAGCGGAACCAGTTAATAGAGGAGACTAGTTATGAAAGCCGGCCGTGAACATCAAAATTTAAAGTTGAAAACAACGGTGCTGTAGTTTATGTTGGAAGCTCCCTGACTGTGCACAATCCTTTGTTTTTTGTTCACAAATTGTGACTGAATAAATTAATGCGATTTTTCTGTTGGTCAGTAAGTTCAAAATGATAGGAATGCTATTGATCATGAAAGTTATGCACTGTCAGGTCCAAAAAAGCTAAAAGACCCATAACAAAGGAGTCTAACGGGTTTCATATGGCGAAACTAAATCATTCAACTCGTTCACGGCGTCAGGGGCGGATCTAGGGGGGGGGCACAGGGGGTGCGCACCCCCCCCCCACCCCCTGAGATGACCTGCGGTTTTTTAATACAACTGGTATTCTGCAAAAAAAAAAAAAAAAACTACGTGGTTTATTGGTGTTGAAGTAGAGCAAGAGACGAGTGCACCCCCTCCTAAAAAAATCCTGGATCCGCCCCTGGGCGTGGAGAAGTCGTTAAGTCACGTTGCTATGGTGGCTTGTACTCAGGAACAAAACGGTAGCCCATAATTTTCTTCCATCGTTCGACAATAATGCAAATAGCAGTCACTGTCAACAACCGGAAAATTTGCTACCATGGTAAGGTGACGTTAGTTACTCTTCTCTCTATTTATTCAACTCGTTTTATTCATTCAGTCTGTCACTTATTCAATCATTCATTTATAAACAGCAACAACAAAACAGAAAACAATTGAAGCAGACTTCGTTCTGTCGTTCTTGTGATACAGTTACATATTACATGAAATTTTCGCCACACGTTAATTTCGCGATAGAAAAAAATCGCGAAAATAAAATGACACGAAAATTAAGTGACTCACATTATGTCCATAATCAAGAAAGAACTAGTTTATTACCACTGAAACGTTTAAAAATCACATTTTTTACTTTTCTGGTGAATTTTCAGTGTAAATGGATGTTGTGGTCAATTGACTCAAGAACGTACAAGAATGACCTGCTGGTGGACACTGTGAAAACTGCTTGGTTTTTCTTAATTTTGACGTTATTGTTTCTTTAATAAAGACGTTTTATTTAATTCAAAGAAATGTCAAATAACATTGCCTATGAAATGTAAATTGTTGTCCTCAAAAACGTGAATTTAAAGTGATTCAAAATATACAATTTCGCAAAATCGCAAAATTTAAGTGTCGCGAAATATGCGCACATCAAAATCTCGAAATAAACATGTTGCGAAAATTTCATGTAATAAGGTACATCTGGGCATGTTTTTTCCCGTACGATTTACGGTTCACAGGAAGTTTGGCGATTTGGAAATTTTTCTCTCAGTTTTAAACAAAAAAATCATTAGCGCCCAACCATAGACTCGGCGATCTTACCCACCGCCTACTGCGTATCCCAGTCCAAAAGCCCGCCTCACATTCGCCAAAAGAGAAATGGAACTGAGCCGAGTTAACGTTCGCAAAGACTTCTCGGAGTGTTTCTGGAGACAGAGAAAAAATATTGGCCAATAGCGGGCATCCCAGCCACTTTTTGGAAAATCTGATAGGAAAGATAGGCTGTTCAAGTTCAAAATATAGGAAAATATAGGAATTTTCTGCCAAAATGTAGGTTCTTTATAGGAAAAAAAAACTATTTTCAGTAATAAAGAATTGTGATTTTGTTAATTCACAACAGAGTTGCTTCACATTGCGAAATGCAGATATCAGAATATGTCCTATTTAAAGGAAATATAGGAGGATTTCGTGAAATATAGGCTCTTTATAGGATCCCATACAAATTATAGGATAAATAGGAAACATACGAGGGCCAGGATGCCCGCAATAGCTGACCTGCACGTCCCCTCTAGCCCAGAATTTCACAAAAAACAACACACTGGATTCAGGGCAATTGAAGTTTATTGAATCTGCGCTTAAGAGCTCAAGACAAGCACACGGAACAAAGAGTTGCAGTGATGTCATAATATATCCTTAATATCTGCCAGCAAGAGTTCCAAGGACGATTGTGCAGGACCTCAACAGATTATAAACTATTCTAACCTCATAAATCTACATAGACTCTAGAACATTTCCAGTAGCTGTTTATCAGTTGACTCACGAAATGTCTCAGTGTACACGACCTCTCTGGGTCACTGTACAGAGGAATTTGAATTACAAAAATTTAAACTTTGTACTCAATGACGTTTCAGAATGGTGTACGATATGACACCTTTAAGAAAGCATTCTAATTAATGTACATAATCTCTCTGGAATACTGTACAAAAACATCACAATAAATTAATTGCTAACAAAACAATCCGAACGAGATAAATGAAACATTTCATAATCAAAGAAGAAAAAAGAAGGCGAGCCATGATTGTATCTTATAGATTTGAAATTCAACACCTGACTATGATGATTCATGAGCCAGAAGTTGATTATGATTACAAAACGTTTCTTTATCACAACAGATTCACCAGAATCGTGAAATATCATGATTCATTATGAGGAATATGCTTACTCTAATGGATTTTAACATTATAAAACAATCCTATTAATTTAGGTAATTCTCTCTTTGTACATAAACTCTCTGGAATAGTGTACAAAAATAATATAAAAAATTCTTGGATAAGCTGTTCTTATAATAAATTAATAATATCATAAAGATTATGTACACAAACACTTTGGAATGGTGCACAAAATAAACCTCGCCTTCAAATCACAAAGGTGTTAAAAATTGTCGCTGGCTCTTTATTCTGAGAGCCGCTGTCTACCGAGCCAGCCAGTTTGCTCAGTTTTTTGGGATGAACCTCACATAGGTCCACACACTGTGGCAGTTGTTAAATGAAAGAAATACATTTATATGAAAGACGTAAAACTAGCGGTTTTCAATTGAGTGTCTGATTACCAAATCCTAATGGCCAATCTTGACACGTGCAGTCAAACAAACAAACCAATCACATATCAAAGGGAATTCACAACGAGGGAAAACGCGAGCAAGAAAATCAATTTTCTTTTGCTAAACTTTTGATTGGTGGAGAAAATGGCGAGGTTTTTTCACCCAATCGGAGAGGTGAGCGCTAGACTCTCTATATAAACTTTCACACAAAAAATTGCTTTTTCAACCGTCACGTACTTAGTACACATCCACTCTCGAACAGTGTACTAAAATAATTGAATCCAAGCCTCAGTCACTTTAAAATTAATAATTAGTAACTTCTTCAGAAAGAAATGATGGTGAACAACTGGAAATTTCGGGGAAAAATGTTTTCTTCCCCTGAGATATCCAACTGAAAAATCTAAGAAGGGTAACTTAGTCCTCCTAAATTTACACAAGAGCATTTTTAACGTTTACCAAAATACCGGTGAGCTTTATAAGCCAGTAGTATTACATGGATACCATGCACATATCCACACTGGAATAGTGTAAAGGTAATAATTAAATCTCATTTAATGGATTACAGTTGAACCTCTCTACAACGGCCACCTTTGGGACAGAAGAAAGTGGCCATTGTAGACAGGTTTTAAGCAAGAGTCAATGTATGGATTTTTTTGTCCTCGGGACGAAAGAAATAGTAGCTGTTGTAGAGAGGTGGCTGTTAGTGGAGGTACGACCGAATAATGTACTTCTAAAAACATTGCTGATCCATTCAGCCAGTCCTCAAATCATTAAGTTGTAACATCGACCATGTTAACAATGTATAATTATAATTATGCATCTTGATTTATTGTTAATCAACTTTGGGATGAAAAAGGGTTAAACATCAATATAAAATGCGTGATTGACTTTAAATATTTCTTATGTTTTAAATATGTATGATAACCTTTGACATTGCAACAACAGAAGCACTATTATTTTCTTTAAAATAATGTACGTGTACAAATGTTTGGTATAAGCACATGTCTTCACTGGGACAGTGTGCAGTATAATTAATTTCCCATTAACATCACTTCTTAATTAACAGATTAATTAGCAATAAGCATGACATCTTCAAACTAAGAATGGAATGAAAAACCAAGAATAGCCAGGCTGAATTGAAAAATATTGAGTTTCTCACTGACACGCTTCACTGTTGAACCGATAAAAAAGTCAAAATCTTAGTTATAACGACTTCTACAACAGAGAAATTTACTTGTTTCCACTAACCACGCACAATTTTAACATGGCTTTTGACGAAAAAAAAATTAAGAATTATTGTGTTACTCTTTTGATCTCTAAAAACGTTTAACTTTGGCTAGTTACAAACTCAGACTTGTGCGGCAATTTTTTTCTCTCTTTTTTTGCTAGAAATGTCATGCTAACTGCAAATAATTATAAAGTTCAGTTAAAATACATGTAACAAAACTACTTTTAGCATGCTAAACAGCATGTGGACTCAAGAGGTTGATTTCATCTGTGTTAAATTTCTCCTTAATGGCACTGATTTCATCACTGAATAAACGACAATAAGACAGGAAAATTAGAACACAAATTCCACGTCAAATGCTTACCTTAATGAGTTTGTGTACAGTAGTGACAGCTCATTTTAGAGGTAATTAATGAGAGTGAGTGACTGTGAATTCAAGTGCCTTCAAAAGCTCATGGAATGACCTCATCATCCATGAGCTAAAAACAATTCCCAAGTGTAGAATTCCCCTTTTGGCGTCAGTTGTAACTCTACCTATGTAGCATTTCAACACCAGGCATTGCAATTTGCTTGTTTCAGAGATCTATATGTATGTAATATGCAACTGAAATAAATGTTCACACGTTTCATTGCACTTACATTTCTTGAACGCTGTCATTATCCTTATCAGATGAATGTTTGCTGGAAGCTAATGGCTCACCATACGCTACATAACTTCCCACTGCATATGAGGAAAAACACCTAAATGCACGGAACATATACATTTGTGTTAAAAGAGAAAGAAATGGGGCACAAAAATTATTCTGCCTGATATTTCCACTACATGTAAATACATGTACAAGTAATAATATTAAAAGCTTTATATCTGTTGGCAACATAGAGTGTGGAGGGCAAAAATTGGCTTTATGTCATTTGCATTTAATATTCACTTTGTGCGATATTATTATTATTGCTGGCCAAGTTTCACCATTTTCAAAATATTGTTGTGATGAGCATTTCCACGGTCAGGGGATGAAACTACCCAGGTAAATTGCTCAAATAGTCTCCTTTCCGTATGCCAAATTCGGTAACAATCAGATTTTGATCTCTAGAGATTAATAATTTTAATTTTATAGTGCCTGGGGAAAATGAGTCACACCTGGGTTTTGGGACCAAGAAAACGTGTCCTTTCCCCTGAATAGAGGTGTCCTCTATAGAGGCAACAGATACAAAGATAATAGGAAAATTGTTCCGCGACCAAATTTTGGGTCCCCTGAACAGGGATGTTGCTAAGAGCCGGCTGCCGGCTAATTTCTCTGGCTGAAAAAGAGCTTATCACCAGCTCAAATTGAAAGGACAACAAAGCCGTGTGGGAATTTTAGAGATGTAGATGAGTAAAACAGCCGACTTGACTACCATAACAAAAAAGCTCGCTTATCATTTTCTTAGCTACATCCCTCTCTGAATGGAGGGGTCCCAAAGGAGAGGTTCCAATGTATTATTTTTGTTGAGGAAAGAGAACCTGAGGGTAAGAATGCAGATTTGCCTGAGTTTTGTGGTGTGGGAGTTTACCAAACTGAAATACATTCATGTATGAGTCAATGGCTCTTAATAGACATAGATGACTGTAATACACAAATTTGATGGAGAAGCATTCCTACCTTCTCTGCCTCTGATGACGAAGGAAAACTAAACACATCAAAAACGGTACCACAACAATAAGAACAAATGAAGCAGTGACTAATGACCCAATCATCACAGGATCCAGTGTTCTCTCACGACGAGACACCTTTCCACCTCCATAGCCACCTTTTGCTGCCACTCCCACTGTTTTCTCAGATGGCACAGACCCTGGTAATGAAGGTCCAGTTGTCACACTGACATTTCTTGGGGCATGAGCTGGGATTCTCACTACTGTCTTGTTTTGTGTGAGGACAACGTTTGGAGCTGTGGCTGTGGTCTGCAAAGAATCTAAGAAAATTAAGATAATTATGTTTAAGTGATTCACTAATAATAATGACTCATGTTAACAAAGTTGCAAATAACACACAGTGCAGAGGGTCATGCAACTGTTCAAAACTCTCAAGGAGGCATAGTAAACATGTTACCTGGGGGACTGGAAGTGGACAATATTTCACCAGAATTGCTACTGTTTTGTTTTTCAGGTTTTGTAGGGGCTATACTTGTTGGAGTGGTACTAACAGCAACTGAAGAATTTTCAGCAACTGTAACTGAAAAGAATAGAATAAGGAATTATTGCAAGCTAAGTTAAGAGGTAAAAAGTAATAATAAAACTGAATAATAACAATAATATGCCATCAAACTCCTAATATACATGTACATGTACATAATTCCTTGAAATTTTAGGATGCCTTCGTAAAGCAATGATATACAGGGTGTATAGATCTTCATATTGAGGTTCCTGCCTTGCCCTTCCCTAAAATACACAATTACTGAAATGCATGTAAATTTTTGGATACATATGTTTGACACTGCATGTAGGGTGTGAGTGGTGGGGGAGGGGTTGGGCATGTGAAATAAAAATGGCGCCATAAATGAAAATTTGTCTGAAAAAAACGTGTAACCTGAGACATGTTACATGTACCTAAAACATATACACTATAATATGTATACAGGACTTTACCAAGACAGACGAAGCCTGGTTACTAACTATGCACGATGTGTATCCTTTATGTATAGCTGACATGAAGCAATTTTTGGCAATAAAAAAGGATAAAATAACATGTCTTATGACCAAAAAAATTCAAAATACAACTTACGATTACTGCAACCGTACAGCTCCATTCTTAAACAGATGTTGTAATTAAACCTTATTGGATAAACTCTAACATGTTGAGCAGATATGGGTACAGGAAAGGTATTCTTTACCACTTTCTGAGAATCCGAATTTGCTGTAAACACCTGTGGTAAAAAATAGGTAGGGATTGCAATGAATCAGTCATGGAACTGAAATGTAAAACATATCTACCAGTTTAATAGTCATATATATATATATATATATATATATATATATATATCTAAAATTGAATTTCTACAAAATATATGATCATCACCCACTGCCCTCCAGTTATGAGAATGCGGGTCTGCTGAGCAGGAGGCCGTGAGTTCAAACCCAAGATGGACCACCAACCACTGGTAAGATCATGCTAGTGTGATTAAAACCCATTCTCAATTTAAATAATCACATCATTGGCAATGATGTTTATAGCTGTTCTTGTCTTCTTCATCCTTACACATCAATTGAAAGGGGATGTAAAAGAACCTGTGAAATAATTATTTGATTGTACATTCTTAAGAGTAGGGAATGTATATGTACTAAAGGCCCCTGTTTCGTGGTCTATCTTAATTCTGACTTAAACTGTCATTGGTTTGGGTGGGAGAGGTGAGATCAAACATAGACTGAAGCGACTGCATAGTGCGCCTTTACTAGCCTGCGAAAACATCCGTTTCTCCTCACTCTTCATCGCTGAGGACGTTTCGCGCGGAGGAACGTCTGCGACTCAGCGACAGAAATTCCATACTGATGACGTAAAATCTGTCCAGAATCCGGTCAGAAGCGCTGATTGGTCGACAGAGCAGTTACATTGTTTTAGCTATTGTTTACAAATGACAGACAAAAGACAAAAGGCCAAAAAGGTCAAATGTAAACACGAAGAATCCCTAACAAAACAGTCAATATTTGTGGAATATAGTCTTCTCTAGAAGAAGCATTTGAGTTTTGCTGGAGCTCGTGGGCAGATCAACACAACACTTTACCAAAATCGACCAGAACACACGCAAAATTAGACAAATTTATATTTGGAACCCCATGACTACTGGATTTATCTTGTAAACATTGATTTGCGTCATCAGTATGGAATTTCTGTCACTGAGTCGCAGACGTTCCTCCGCGCGAAACGTCCTCAGCGACGAAGAGCGAGGAGAAACGAATGTTTTCGCAGGCTACGCCTTTACATGCTGATGTCCGATCTCATCTCTCTGGTTCCTAGGCAATTCAGCCACTGGATGCAAGAGAGGGAAAATTAACACCTTTTTATTTTTATTACATTGTTTACATTGCTTGATGCTGCTTTTGCTCGTAAGTGATTTTTAGGTGGATAATTAAACCTTTTATAACCCAGTCCTTGTGTCTCACTAATTGACATCAACCAGTTCATGTATTCAAGCTGCCACCAATTCCATGCTCTCAAATATGGTTAACTTTTCCACAGCACATATCAGTGTCTGTTTGATTACCCGTCATTCAATTGCTGATAGCTCCTTGCATGACTTACTGTGTTGTTGATGATTAGTAATAATAATAATAGTAGATTTCCAGTACATTACATAAAATCTCAATACTCAGATTACAATAATTGTTACTAAAACTGTAGACATTTTTTCTTTGACGTTGAGCAAAGTGAAAAAGGGGAAATAAAATAAAAAATTAGGAATTGGCTCTTGCCCAGCTTACCCTCTTAATCCTATGCCATTTAGCTCCATCTCTGCTGTAAACAACTCTGAACGTTTTGACAAAATAGTCATTGACACCTGAAAATCCTTGTGTTGCAATTCCAGTTAAAATAAGAGTTTGAGTTAAGTCCAATTGAATATAATGATTCCTGCCACCGCTGGCACACCATGCACGTGTGTTGTACAGGCGGGAATATTGTGGTTTTGTGTGGACTGTTTTCCCACTTCCAATATAGAAATTCTCATAGAATGAAGAAGCTGAGAGCTGAGAATCAAGTACTCTGCCATCTTGTAAACCTACTGTTCTGTTGCAGTCTGTGAAAAACAAAGGAGGAACTAATTTGTCAGTCGTACAAAACTATTAAAACATTACACAATCATTTGTAACGAATCTTTCTTTCTTGTAACACTATATGAATAGAAGGCCAACAAATCATGACTAGACCCACACTTTAAGTTCAATAATCCATTCTCAGATTAAACAGGATTCAACCTGTAGTTTGTTTCGAAATTCCTTTCTTTCCTAGGCCTGATTATTCATAGGAGACAAAGAATATTCTGATTTATTATAACCAGGAAATAGCCATTATGCATGTTTATGTCAGATGAGTAAATCTCACCACCATGTCTCTTTTTCAAAATATAAAGTTGCGAGGTGTTACATAAATGAATTCCCAAGGCAGTACAGTTGAAAAGAATACCCATGCACAAAGAGTGCAAATGCTAAGAACTTTGCTTACAAACAGGGCTTGGTGGTGAAATGTGCTCGTCTGACGTAACCATGCATAAGGGCCATTGATTTCATCCACAACACGTACATACATGCATACATGTATGCATGTACCAAGCAGTTTTCAAAGTTATATTTTTCACTTACATTGTACAGTTGTACTTTCACACACAAAAAATGAAAATGTGATGTTACAGGTTTCACATAATATTAATTTTAAAAAGACAAAAAACCTAGGCTCTTATGCTGAATATTTTTTTTTCTTGTCTAAAGTGACTGAATTTCGTAATTTACTCTTCCTGTTCTTCAAGCATTTAGATGTTCTTGCCAAATATCAAACACAATACGTGCACACTGTATATTGGCTCAGAATTTTGTCCTTTAATTTGCAACACTCCTTATCATAAAGTGGAGCTGACCAAAATATACAATGTAACAGGTCCTTTGTTTTCTTCATCTGTCTTTAATTCACCCTTTTGACTGTTAGTAACGATATATCAACAACAGATATTGACACCGCTGTAGGCAGGAGAAAATTTATTGCTAATTTTGCTTTTGGAACTAAAGCTCTGTTAGACTTAAGTAGCCTATATTCTCTAAATGTATAAGGAATTTTTGTAATGCAACTCAGAGTCTTCAAAATAGTTTGCTACAACCGTTAACAACAAACTTGATGACAGCATTTGGCTGTCTTTGTTGAGTTCAAACCTGCCTTTCATTTAGAAATTTTCAACAAGTTATCTTTGGAGACAGAGAATTTGAGGCAAAGGAAAACAAAAACAGAGCTGGATTTAGAGAAAAACTTGAACTAAAGTGCCTGCACACACTGCGTGCTACATGACTTTGTACATGACAATCATGAATGAGTTAACTGTAACACTATGCTGTAAAACAAATTTTCTAGAAAAAAAATCTTTTTCATCCTCCTTGTATTGGTTTGAATTCCTTTAAACAATTAGCTCTAAAAATCGAAGTTTTGAATAGAAAATACCTTAACATAGTTTAACATACTGCTTACGGATATCAAACATCGTTTTGCTCGAAAATCCTTTAAGAACTCCACAGATGGTTAGCAGAATCCAGTGTCTGTGGCCACTGGATAGAGATTTGTCAAAAACATTTCAATAAAAAAAGCCATGACCTTTCCTAAAATATATTGTTTCATTAATAGTAGATCATAAATGAAGAATGTTTTTGGATACTCTGATGTTCCTGTTATTTCCATCTCTATATCTGGCCTGAATAAAAATGATCAGACCGAACACAAACCGCCATCTCATGAACATGAGTAACTTTTGTCACAAGATTGGAATGAGAAGGGTACAAAGATGTGTTTTGACAAGGAATACATGTAAAATCATATCCATAAAGGGGCTTACCAGCTCCTCAAATTATGGTTTCAAGTATTGCTTTCACATGTATCGTTAACATCAATGGTTTAAATTTCTCATAGAATTCAACATATGAAAATAAAACAAAAAAGAAAGTTATTATTTGGATTGGAGGCACCTTATTTGCACAGTTTTTATTTTTTCAAAAAATCTGCTGTTTCTATGACAACTAGGCTCTTTGCCCTAACTCACAGTGTTCAATTTTCAAGGAAGATGGAGAACTAACTTATACATCTATAAAGGCACATACAGTGTAAAAGTGGCTGGCCAATCTACGTATTTGCGACCCAAATAAGACAGGAGTACACTCTTTTCTTCAGTGTTGTCTCAGCTTGTTCTCTCTGTTTAACCTTAGGGTCCTGATTGTTAAGACTGGCATTTCACTTCCACATTTGCCAAAACCAAGTCCAAATATTAATATTAAAAACGAATTCTGAATTTAAAATTGTAAAATTTAGCACAGAAGACAATGCCATGAAAACGTATCGCCACAGAGATATCAACTGAATGGTCACATGTTAGGATTTTATTCCAGAGGATCGAAAGTCTTGAAGAGGATTGGAATATATTGATAATGGTTAATAAACAGCACATGTTATTTCAGCTACACATACAATTGATTCATATGCTAATACAGTCTATTAAAACGGAATTGTTAGTTAAAAACAATTCTACTGTACTTCATTTTAACTAAAACAGCACGAGAGGTCTTTTTTTCGACCGGTAAATGCATGTACCCACAGAAACCCAGCATAGCTCATGATCAAAATCTACACGACAAATGTAAAATCTACACTCCAGCATTTCTTGTCCAAATCTGTAAGACTTGGTTAGTCAAAGCTTCAGTAAATAATAAGCGTTAACAGTGTGTAAGGTTAACCGAAAGCGAAGAACTTTGGTCCTACACCTCAGTGAGGCTCACGCGCGAGAATCTCATGCTACACGCTTCATAATTTAAATAAAGTTTGGTGGTCAAAGTACTGACATTCTTTGCAGTTTAACCATAAGTAAAGCTTGAAAAATATAAAATGATTCATAATTTTCCTTTGGATCCAGAGGGAGACCAACAATAGGTTAGTTGTATCATAACTTTATAAACAAAATGGCAAACAAAAGCTCAATATAACCTTAATCTTAAACTTAGCCACTAGGTCTTGCGAGACTGGAAGAGCTGCCCAAGTATTGGGGATTACAGTAATTAAGTTTCCATTCAATAGACTCACCATCTAACCAACTTGATCCTAATACGCTCTGGAAGGAGACAGAAAATAGAAAAAACAACAAGGAATCCGAAACAGTGAACATCTTCTTTCACAAGCGTGGCCGATTGCCGATACACATGAATCTGTTGTGTCCTTCTGACCAAAACGTGAGCCGATCCGCGTACTATTTAAGCTTGGTAACCACCCGCAATGCGCTGATTCGCTTGCTTGTTGGCGCCCAAAGTAATAAAGGCGGGCGATATTGATATGCTACGCAGGCTGTGTCAGTCATCGTTTACGTCAATTTTTTGGTCCAGTTTATAGATTCTTTTCTCCTCCCGCCCCCACTGTCCCCCGGGAGAGCTTACTCGCGCCCGCAGGCTAATTTCAAAAAAACAGTACCGCATGCACTGATGTGCGTTCGTCATAGGAACTACAAGAAGCATCATATCAGGCCGCTATATTGATTAAGACCATAACTTTGTCACGTTATCCGAGAAAAGGTTCCGTAAGGCCTAGAGAGCATACTGCTGATAAAAATTTTGTCTGTCTTTTGAATGGAAACGTGGAAACTGTCTTTGTCAGTTTTTGACTCTGTACTGTCTTCAGAGAGAATAATACTTAACGCGGACGAATCCCTCACTCAAGCGTGACTAACTCACAGGAAAAACAACTCTTGTGCTAATTTTATAGCCCAGAAATTGATCACTGATTGTCTTTCCGAGGCCAATATTCTCCGCAATGCTGTGTCGGTTACGGGGGGGGGGGGGGGGCTACTCCCTTATCTACGCTATATAGGTATGTGCTCCCCCATCGGGTAGGGTTTTTGCGCCGTTTTGGTCTGAAAACGGGTATAGGTATACACGTTGGTCGTTTTGGTCTGGAATCGGGTATGGTTTTCGAGGGAACTACGGGAGTGTATGAACATATTTATTAATTCAATACCAAATGAGTAAGAGAGAAAGAGAAATGTGCCAATTCGAAATGGATTTAAAGCATTTTTTTGTTGGCGCTCTAATCTAAGTAATGATAACATAATTTGTGCCTGAAGGCCAGGTCTGAAAACGGGTATGGACGTTAGAGGTCTGGTCTGAAAACAGGTGTGGAAAATTACATTTTTTGGTCTGAAATAGGGTCAGGATTTGGAGAACCGGGCGGCACACCCTCACCAAGAATTCCCAGGAGTACCCCCCCCGGGGGGTCGGGTGACAACCAACTGAGAGATAAAAGAAAGTTTTGTTTTCTCTCTTACTAATGAAATAGATCACTCCCCCAAATTTTCTGTTCTCCTTAGAATTAAATTGACACAGGCACAACTGTCACATCACCGTGTGCCCATCAGATTGGCGACTGATGAGTACCGAGATCTTCTGGGCCAATAATTTTTTTCTCGTGTGCGGCGCAGCGCGGAGGGATGCATAGATGCAGGGCAGACCGGCACATCTTCGGTCGAAGGGCGAAGTCGCGAGCCATTATCTAGCGGCAAATCCAGAAACCACTTATGAACCAGGGTATACGAACATGATAGGTCACTTCGAAGATCAGTGGTTAGTCGTGTCCTGCATGACTGTCGTCTGAACGCATGCAGTAAAATTCCATAGCAGGCCTCTGAAAGCATATTGATAATAAGACATGATAAACTTAAAAACAACAAAGATCGAAGTCCGGTTCCAGTGCACCAATCAACAACAGCCACGGTACCTTGACAACCACACTCTTATTTCGGTCCCTCTCTGAAAACGCCTGCGTGGGAGGCTACTCTCTCGCTCGGATGCGGTTCTGTTAATCGAGTCTATCGACACCATTGCCTGACTGTCGCCTGACTGACTATTTTTAATACCAGCCTAAAATTTAATTCTATCGTAAGAATCGATTATCAGATCTAGTAGTAGTCTCGCTATCGTGAGATAACTGGCGATAAACAACGCTACCAAGATCAAACTGTTCACAATGTTTATTATTAATGTTGCCAAGCCGTGGCTACTGTCTCCTCCACACTGAGTTTTTCCAGGGCCGATAATAAGCCACTTCCGAGTTCCAAAAACCCTTACTCTCAAAATGAGGCCAAGTGCACAACTCTTCTTGTCGGAAATGAGTTTTATTTGCATGAGAATGAAAAATCATTTCCATACTGCAATAGCCTGAATTTCATCCGATTACTTCGAGTCGTTATTACTCAGGGAGTAATAACGACTCGAAGTAATCGGGTGAAATTCAGGCTAATACTACAAAGGCCGAGAACTTAACCTCGTTTTGGTACAGAGGCCCGGGGAACTCGGAAATGGCTTGTTAGACTCGGACAAGCGAGAAGCAAGAGAAGCGAGAGAAGCGCGAAAGGGAGATGAATGATGGGAACCAGCATAGAGGGCATGCGAAAGTAATGATAATAATTAATCCAAATTAAAATAAAAAGTGATCGCTTTTTGAGACTGGGGACGAGGAGAGTTTTGGTTCGAAGATTATCCCTTGGGGTTTATAAATTTGTCCCGCACCACAAGAAAATTAGATACTAACCCCCTCCTTGTTGCCCCCTTCTTTAGGCTATGATTTACGTAGTGCCCCCCGGGTTTCAGGTAAATCAGTAATACACTGATTGGATCTCTCTCGAATTGCATTGAATTGTAGTTAATGTAATGTATAATTATAACTGAACGAGCAGCAGTACGTGCTGGGAGTCAAAGACATTGAAAAGTGTGTCTCAGTAGAGTTTGATAACGATGATGCTTTGTGAACGTTGGAGAGTGGCTACGAAAAAATATTAGGTATCAAATTGTTATGCAAGAAAATCAACTCTTCACGTGTTTTGAACTTTTCTTCTGCGAACGACACTAACAGAAGAGGACATGGCGTCCTGTTCCAGAGCTTTTTGGAAGCCTAAAAATGTAAAAATTGCGAGGAAGAGAGGACGTTAATCGAAAATGCTGAAGTGAAATGGTAGAGAAAACAAAAATCCAGCAATGGAGGCTTGCCTCCTTCACAGCTGACAAGTCCAAGGCAACGCTTGTACTCTGCTATACCCAACATTACGCCTGAGTCAGTGAACTTTTGGCTGAATAAAATTGTGGAAAGACAGAGTTTTTAATTTTGTGCAATACAGTCAAATACGGTGGCCCAGAACCGTCACAGCAAAACCAAATACTTCACAGCAAAAACAAAGTAGCTTTGGTTTTGCCGTGGGTATTTGCTTTTGCCGTGAGGTATTTGGTTTTTGCTGTGAAGTATTTGGTTTTGCCGTGAGGTCTTTGGTTTTGCCGTGAGGTTTTTTTGTTTTTGCCGTGAGGTTTTTGGTTTTGCCGTGATGTTTTTGTTTTTTGAGGTTTTCGGTTTTGCCGCGTGAGGTATTTTGTTTTTGCCGTGAGGTTTTCAGTTTTGCCGTGAAGTATTTTGTTTTTGCCGTGAGCTTTTTGGTTTTGCCGTAGCAGTTGTGGGCCACCGTAGTCAAACCTAGTTAGTACGGACACTGAGGAGGCCATAGAAAGTGTCCGTATTAAGCGGGTTGAATTTAGAGAAAATGTAAGGGCCCTCTTTCCCCAGGGAACACAGCAAACTGTCCGTAATAATGAGGTGTCGGTATTAAGTGGGTTGAATTTAGAGAAAATGTAAGGGCTTTCTTTGCCCAGGGAACACAGCAAACTGTCCGTAATAATGAGGTGTCCGTATTAAGCGGGTTGAATTTAGAGTAAATGTAAGGGCTTTCTTTGCCCAGGGACAAAGCGAACTGTTCGTAATAATGAGGTGTCCGTATTAAGCGGGTTGAATTTAGAGTAAATGTAAGGGCTTTCTTTGCCCAGGGAACACAGCAAACTGTCCGTAATAATGAGGTGTCCGTATTAAGCGGGTTGAATTTAGAGTAAATGTAAGGGCTTTCTTTGCCCAGGGAACACAGCAAACTGTCCGTAATAATGAGGTGTCGGTATTAAGTGGGTTGAATTTAGAGAAAATGTAAGGGCTTTTTTGCCCAGGAACACAACAAACTGTCCGTAATAATATGAGGTGTCCGTATTAAGCGGGTTGAATTTAGAGTAAATGTAAGGGCTTTCTTTGCCCAGGGACAAAGCGAACTGTTCGTAATAATGAGGTGTCCGTATTAAGCGGGTTGAATTTAGAGTAAATGTAAGGGCTTTCTTTGCCCAGGGAACACAGCAAACTGTCCGTAATAATGAGGTGTCCGTATTAAGCGGGTTGAATTTAGAGTAAATGTAAGGGCTTTCTTTGCCCAGGGAACACAGCAAACTGTCCGTAATAATGAGGTGTCCGTATTAAGCGGGTTGAATTTAGAGTAAATGTAAGGGCTTTCTTTGCCCAGGGAACACAGCAAACTGTCCGTAATAATGAGGTGTACGTATTAAGCGGGTTGAATTAAGAGAAAATGTAAGGGCTTTCTTTGCCCAGGGACAAAGCGAACTGTTCGTAATAATGAGGTGTCCGTATTAAGCGGGTTGAATTTAGAGTAAATGTAAGGGCTTTCTTTGCCCAGGGAACACAGCAAACTGTCCGTAATAATGAGGTGTCCGTATTAAGCGGGTTGAATTTAGAGTAAATGTAAGGGCTTTCTTTGCCCAGGGAACACAGCAAACTGTTCGTAATAATGAGGTGTCCGTATTAAGCGGGTTGAATTTAGAGTAAATGTAAGGGCTTTCTTTGCCCAGGGAACACAGCAAACTGTTCGTAATAATGAGGTGTCCGTATTAAGCGGGTTGAATTTAGAGTAAATGTAAGGGCCCTCTTTCCCCAGGGAACACAGCAAACTGTCCGTAATAATGAGGTGTCCGTCGGGTTGACTTTAGAGAAAATGTAAGGGCTTTCTTTCGCCAGGGACAAAGCAAATTGTCCGTGATAACCCAGTTAGGTGTCCGTAAAGCGGGGTTCGAATGTAGTAAATTTATTGCGTGTGTAAATAGTTGAAAGAACATTTAATTTAATATTCACCCACCATTTGTTGTGTCAGGTGCTGTTTTAAAGGCTTTAAAGGCCAGCGCCAGAGTAGCGGAGAAAAACTGCATTTTTCACCAATTCCTCCTTTTTGGACTGGTTTTCGATTAATCAGCATGGGGATCGATGAGTCTTGAAACAATAATCATATGGCAAATTCTTCGACCAATCGGATGAAATTAAGAAGCTTATTTGTTTTTTGCGCATGCGCATAAGCCAGAATTTGGACTCCGACACTTCATTTTTCTTTCTCGCTCTCTTTACCTTTCTTTTCTAAATTCAGTTTTGTTTCCCATTTTATCGTCTTTCTTTTGCACGGAATTGTGGTTGGCTAACCTTTCTGGAAAGAGACAAATTTAACAAACTGAGTAGTAGGTAAACGGCGAAATTGGCAGCGGATTTTTCCCCAAAATGTTAAAATGTGCATCCATCCATAAGGGCAGGAAAACGACCCTAGCCGTCCGAAAAGGGTTCGTTTCGGGTCTGCGTTTTGGGGTCTTAGGTCTTTGGTCTTCGTTTTAATTCGCTACAACCCGTTAAGAACTGTTGTTATTTAACACTTCCAACTTGCAACGTTAAGTCTAGCTACCCATTTTGACTAGAAGCTGCTTCTAACCATTTTAAAGCGTTTCCCAAAATACTTTAGGTTCATATCATCATTTTTCTACTGCAAAGCCGTGCTCCGTGAAATTGTTTGCGCGAGGGCGATCCAAAATCCGGAATAACGGAAACGGAAACGGAGAGGGAAGTGAAAAATGATATGATGAAAGAGGTCGTTAAACTGTTGTCTTTCATAAAGAAAGAATAGACCAAAAAAGTAAATAAAAGCATCGCAAAATGTCTCCAATAGAGGACAATGATTCTTTCCGTCCAAGACATATTTTGCTGTATTTTAAATACCCTTTTCAAATGAAAGATTTGGGCAAAAATTGATGAACTGGTTCAAGAGAGAGACCACACAAAACAATGTTCTTCGTCTTGTGAAAAAAAAAGAAGGAAACAAGGGGAGCTGCGATTGATAGCCTCTTCTTTTATCTTGTCACACCGTCCTTCCCTGCCAAAAAAGGCAACCGTACGATATCGCTTTCAGGTACAGTTAGGTACTATAGCGGTGCTGTTCTCTGGAACAGTCTGCCCTCTTTTATTAGGAAAACCAAATCTGTGGCTAACTTTAGACAGATGTTAAGCGTTTCAGTTAACTGACACGGCATTCAGTCAAAACAGGCATTAACTTTTCTTTCCTCTTTTAGATTTTACGTTATAGATATATGTTTATTTCTTCTACTAAGTTATATTTGTATTTACATAATCGCACACCGTTTAATAAAATCACTCTAATATGTAATTATATTTTAAGTCATAGATAGTCAATACCATAGTGATTTTAGTATTAGTAGTATTATTTCTTGCCTGATGTATTTACTGTGTATAAATAACAAAGATGATGATGATGATGATGACGGACTTGGCATATCATCGTCGTGTCGAAAGATCCCGAAAATTGGTTATCTTTTGTACGCTGGTGGCTCCGATATATATATTCTACTGTTAATTACCAGGAGCCTGGACTGGCGCTTACTCATTGTAGCAAAACTCACTAGATGACCATGGTGACTTCTTTGGTCATGCGCCGTAGTCACCGTAACGACAGACCCCGAGACCCCGTTCCACAGACCCCAGGACCCCGCACCCCGTCTCCGTATTATCCACTAAAATAAACGATCACTCTGGCCAACGTTATATGACAACGTCAATCATTCAAAGTCACAAACTGGACCCAACAATACTGGCTCATTAACAAAGTGGAGTCACGGTGCGGCATGCAGTTTATATTCGGCGATCAGTTTGATACGTGCTGGTATTTTGGCAATGATCTAACTTCCCTCGAACTGAGGCCCTTGGTTTTCCATTCATGTATTCATAGTACACGCCTAAACTGAACGCGCGTTGAATGTAAAAAGTCACGTTTTCGTGAACGCGTTTGAACACAAGTGAAGATTGAGACGATACGTTTCTCGGAATTAATGTAGCAATTCCTGCTACTCTACGTTAAAGTAAATTCGCTTTTTTATTGCAAATTAACGTGGTTGCATGTATTTAATTGATAGATTGTTGACTGGGTTGTTAAGAACTATTGTGGAAAATGTGAAGTACGTATATTCGTACATGAGATATTGTTAAGTAAATAAACGACCACTCTGGCCAACGTTATATGAGAACGTCAATCATTCAAAGTCATTTGAACTGGACCGAACAATCAGGGAACAATACTGGGTCATTAACAAAATGGCGATCAGTTTGATACGTGTTGGTATTTTGGCAATGATCTAACTTCCCTCGAACCAAGGCCCTGGGTTTTCGATTCATGTATTCATACGTCTAAACTGAACGCGTGCATTGAATGTAAAAAGTCACGTTTTCGTGAAAGCGTTTGCAAGCACCGGCTACGGTAAAGTAAATTCGCTGTTTTATTGCAGATTAACTTGGTTGCATGTATTTAATAGATAGATTGTTGAGGTGGTTACGAACTTTTGTGGAAAATGTGAAGTATATTCGTATTTGAGATATTGTTAAGTAAATAAATGATCACCCACTCGTCACGTACCGTAAAATTCTGAAAATAAGCCCCTCCATCATGATAAGCCCCTCCAAATATAAGCCCCCCAAACCGGTAACGCAATAAAAACCCTCCGTTAAATCACCCCTCCAAATATAAGCCCTCCGGGGGCTTGTACTTGGAAATTTGCCCTCAAATACAAAGTAAAATATAGCAAAAACGGTAAATTTACTTCCAGCTATAATCGATTTTGAACCGAAAGTTTCCCTCTGTAGATGAGCCGCTCCGAATATAAGCCCCTCTCAAGTAGAAGGGCCTTTGAAAAATATAAGCCCCGGTATGTTACGGTATGTCACGTCAAACCTATCCTACGAACCCGCCAAATGTCTGCGTTACAACATTCACTGTTTTGACGTTATGCTAATTTATTAATGCGCACTATACATACCTCCATGACTAGAGCATTTTAGTTTGAATTTATCGCATCTTTTGAATGTACAATACTCACATTGAAATGCATCAGTCATGGAGATATGTATGGTCCGCATTAATTTGGAAAAATTAGCAGAATGACAAAATAGTGAATGTTGTAGCGCGGATTTTTGAGCGCTTCGTAGGATAGGTTTGTCTTATAATTTCAATGTGTTGTAGTAAATCAATCTTAATGAAAGTTTCAGACACTATTTATATATACATTATGAAGATTATGTGAAGAGATTTGAAAAAAATTCATTCAAGTCGTTTCAAAGAAATACAAAAAACCGATGAAAGTCCAAATTTTGAATGAAGTTGCACTAAGACAGGTGGTGAGAAAACGGGTTAGTTTTCAAGATCGCAAGAACGAAAACACACCAAAACTTCCCAGCATCGAAATATAACATTTAAGCAACATTCTGACGCTACTTGAGATTAATTTGAGTCATTTATAAAATTTGCTAAATAATCTATCACGGCCATTGAAAATTATTTTCGTTTTTTTTTTTAATTCAAACATACAGAATTTTTTACTTCTTACGGAGGATGTTTGCTGAACAGGTGGGCAGTTTCTCAGAAACCTAAATTGATGTAGCCTTCGAAAACATCCGTTTCTCTTCGCTCTTCGCCGCTGGGGACGTTTCGCGCGGACGAACGTCGTTCCTCCGCGCAAAACGTCCCCAGCGGCGAAGAGTGAGGAGAAACGGATGTTTTCGCAGGCTAAAATTGATGCGGTTCTATCAGGAGCCGATTACGGCTCCTGGTTCTATATGTTCTATTTTCCTTTTGTTTCAAAGTAACCGGGGGAAATCCTAGATCCCCAGCCCCTGGGCCTAAGCAACAGCCCTGGACTACAGTTCTTGCACCTGGGCATCGATTCCCGAAAAAGACATTTTCACATCTTTTTTTTTTATAATACAGATAATATTTAATAAAGAGACTTAGGGTGCTTTCCAAAAGTCAACTGGCCGGCCGGACCATGGCCGGACCAGTCATTTTAAAAATGACTAGGATTTCATCAAGAGTTTTTGCTAAAAAACCATGTCCTTCGTGCATACTATTTAGGATCTGACTAATCTGGCCAGATAGTTTTGATTAGAGGTGAAATTCATTGCAATCATTGCAAATCATTGCAATGGGAATGATCTGGCCAGTCAGTTCTAACAAATGGAAAACACCCTAAGAAATTTCATTTAAGTGAGAGGAAAAGGTCAGCTAGAAGGAAGGAAATGAGTCTTTACTTTACAAGTAAGCGCTCGATATCGTCGATTGTAGGGAAAAAAGGGATTGTAAGCAGTCTAGAGTATTGCCAGCTCTGTTAGTTTAGTACTATTGGGCCGCTTTGTTGTCTGGTGCCAGTAAGAGCAATGACTTTTGGAGAAAAACTTGAAATATAGTAATAATAAAATAATAAAACAATTAGAACTATTGCTACATTAAACACTTCAGTATGGTCTAAATTTCCTCGCTGACTTCATTTCGGCGATTCTCTTCTTGTCTTCATCAAACTTCTTTCGTAAATTAGCAATATCTACCAAAATAAAGATGAAACAAACAAGTTACGGGGAATAAAAACAGCAATATTGATGTAAGATTCACTAAGGTCGCCGTAGCTTGCGTTACAGATGTAATGTAACCCCATTTAGTAACCAGAAGTATAGTTGCGTCTGTGGCACAGGCTAAGAGCACAGCGAAATCAAAAAGCGCATTAGATTCAACCATCACCTGAATTGATAACAACTTGTAAGCGCTTGAAGCCCTGGGTGAGCACTTGTTCAAGGCTGATAAGTTTAATAGCATGCATTCCAACATTGTTGGCCACCATTCATTGGATGGCACTGATAAACATGCAACTAAATGACCCAAGACAGTTGGCCCGGCCAATACTTTATGGATAATGAGGCTGAATGTGTGGGTAAACGTTCCAGTAATCTGAATATTATTGGCGAGGTGTCTAATCGTCACACTAAACTTGAGTAAAGACGTTCCAGAGTTGTTGGTCAGCCTTTGTTAAATAACAATGTTGGACGTGTGGGAAAACGAAATGGTTTGGATGGTAAAGTTGCATGTGGCCGAAAACGTTTTGACGCTGCTGGCCAAAATTTCTTTCTTCTCGGACGGTTAAACGTTACAGTGGAGAGATTAAGATTCACATTTACGCTAAATCGCAAACGTGAATTTGTACCACGTGACCAAGTTTTTCCCTTAAATTAATAATATTGTCGTTAACTGTTTATTACTTCAACTAAAAAACAAGTAGTTTCATGTCAGTTTTATACATAAGAATTGTTCTGGACAGTTTTTATCTGCTTATTTTCTATTCTGAGAAATTCTCAACTTGAATCTGACGTTTGCCGTTTGGCATAGAGGTAAATCTTAATCTTCCTAGTAGCACAAAATGAGTGGCAACTTTGTATGTGTGAGAATCTTTCAAACATTGCGAGCCAACGTTTGTTGAATGTATGGCAACGTTTATTGTGCGGATCAAGATCCTACTATTGTTGGCCAACAACGTTTGTTGGATCATGCGAAGATTCACAAGTGGCTAGATGTTTCAATATTTTTCACCAACACTTTTGTCAATGGGTGCTAAATGACTTCAAATAGTAGGTCTAATGGGTGTTACTCCTTTACTGTTAAATATAATCTTGACGTTACTGCAAGATTTGGTTTAATTTACATGTACGACGTTCAAATATAAATCTTTATTATAGGTTAGCAAATTCTTCCCCACCCCTCCCCACTCTTTTACTCGTGCCATTTTTCTTGCGGTATTTGACCCTCGTTCCTTGTTCTTTGCTCCGAAACCGCACGGAAATGCTTGCTATGTAGGTTAGCAATTATATGACGGAAAACAATAGGTGGGCGTGATCTTGCAGAAGCTAGCTACAGTGTTTTTAGCTAGCGAGAAAAATCCTTGTTACTTCTGCGATTTTTGCGATATTTGGGGAATTTCGGGGTCGTTCTTGGCTTCTTTGCTTTCTAAGTCTGGAATTTTGTTACATTTGTTATTTTTGCGATTTTTGCGATATTTGTAAGTGATTTTCTGGCATAATTTTTTCTCAATTATTTCTTTTGCGACAATTGTGAAAAAAATTTGCTAGCAAATTTTTGCTAACAAGATCGATCCTGGACATATCTCACATGAGTACGGTACCAATTTCTACATAATCAAATACTGATACTCACGTTCTCTCCTTGATTCTCGTTGTTGAAATTGATAGAAATTTAACAAAGCACGCTGCAAAAAAAAAGAAAAACAAAACAAAAGAAACCAAAGATCACATTTACACCCACATCTACCTGATCACACCTTGTGTATATTCTTGAACAAATAAATTATGACTAACAGTAAAATGTAAGCTACCAGGGGCTATATATCAATAAAAAAGTGTGTTTATTTATTATTACAATAGTGATCATATTTCTTATTCTCAAGCACTCTTTGTGTGGTTATAAGCAGTGGCATTTGAGCAGAAATTAGCCATTGATCACTCTAAGGATTTAAACATGACAAAGTACCTTCTTTTTCTTTTTCCGCTTTTCTTCTAACTCAGCAGGATCTAATCTGGGTGCTGCTGGGTTCCTTCCACTTCTTCCAACAGTCACCCATCCTTCATCATCTGGTTGGTTTTGTGCCTCTGCAGCTTCTTTGTCCATCTGAGACAACACACAACATTAACTATCCGTACGTAAAACTAAGTTTCAATGCTTGGTACATGCAACATTTAAAAGGAGACATTAAAATTTGTACATCTCATCAACTCTAATTTTGCAATCACCAACTTGTGTTTGCCTAGGTAGTCTTTCTTACACAGCAAAAGAACCTAATATATTGTTTCTAAATAAAAATTTTAATTTTAAAAAATTCTAAAAAAAATCATGTTGCATTCAAATCACAATTTTTTTTTAAACAGAGGTTCTCACAGTAATGTGTACTTTCAATTAAAAAAATTAAAACATTTTGAGGTTATGGCCTTTTTTTTTTTCAAAAAACTCTGATCACTGGTCAGCAGTACACCTGGCATTATACAAACCTGTTCTTTGTTCCCATCAAACTTTGCCATAAATTCATCAATTTCAGCTTGTAAATTTGTGGAATCTGGGTATTGCTGGTAGTACTCTTGAATCCACTCTGAAAAGCAGACACACACCTTCATTATAATTTGCCAAATACTTTATCATATAGTCAATTAAATATTCATGCAAAAGTGTGCTATATTACAGCTGTATTGCTCATCTGAATAAAATGATGTTTATTTATTTATGTATGTATTTATTCATAATTTAATGGTTTAAATTACAAATTAAATATTGATAAAAAAGCCATATAAAAAGGATAATCTGTAAAAGAGTAAAGACTCCAAACAATACAGATCCATAAGCTAATGTAAAAATGTAACAACAATAAATATTACAAAGTACAAAACTATTGAATAGAAGATCAACCAACCCCCACCCCCTCCCTACATAAGAGAGCATTAGAACATTTTTCAGCCCAAACTTGAAAGTTTCCAAACTCGGTGCCTTTTTGAAAACATTTAAGCTGGCTATATTGTCGTTCAGATAATCTGTAAAGGAGAACAAAAATAAATTATATAAGACAATAAATAACACACTTTAATACTTGTTAAAAACTTACTTTTCATTCCTGTAATTACAGGTTGGTCTGTTGTTGATAAAACTCTTACTGTAGAGCTGTCCAGAGCTAGTGCTGTATTTATAGAAGATGATTTTTTGAATACAATGTAACCAACTTTGAATCCCTACAAAGAGGAAATGAAATAAATATTCCCAATGTCAATTACTGAGTAAATCCAGTTTTCAGTAAGCATTGATCAAGCAGAGCTTGTAAATACATGCATGCTGTCAAGTGCATGGATACAATTTTGAATCCAGGCCTGATAGCTGTGCAACTGGTACAACGGCCTCAAATATGACCATTGGTTTTATATCAATAAATGGATGCTTGCACTCCAAAAACATTTGACAAAAGTAAACAATGTGATAGATGTATATGAAATAAATCATGTAAGAACTGTGGAAATGAAATCAAATGAAGAAAGATCCCCTCAGTTGTGAACGTGTTTATGCAATAGCCCCTATGCATGATTACGTCAGACGAGTAAATTTCACCAACAAGCCTCGTTTGTGAACAAAATTTTTTGCATTTGCACGTTTTGTGCATGGGTATTCTTTTCAATTCTACTGCCTTGGAAATTCATTTCTGTGAAACTTCGCTTATTTTTAATTTCAAAACGAGGCTTGGTGGTGAAATTTGCTTGTGTGACGTAAACATGCATAAGGGCTATTGAGTAAGAAGCCTGTAAAAAAAAAAAAAAAAGGACTTCAACGGGATTTGAACCCGTGACCTCGCCATACTGGTGTGATTCTCTAAACAAACACATAATTAACCAGCTCCCAACATCAGTGACTTCATAGCTCAGTTGGTTAGAGCACGGCACCAGTATTGCAAAGTCACGGGTTCAAATCCCGTTGAAGTCCTGAATCTTTTTTCAGGCTTCTTAATAAACAATTGCATTAATTGCATTCACAACTGTGAAGATCATTCTCCATTTGAAAAGTAAACAATATCAACTAGTACAAAAGTTTGCGCTGCTGCGGCTTCAAAAAACTTAAGTGAAACTTAAGTGTTAACTTAATGCTGTTTATAAGGTTTATAAGCAGAGCATCCTTTTCCCACCTCGATCAAGAAGACAAAAGAAGGCTCTGCGCTCTCACAGGGTGCATGAAAAGTTACTGTTGTTGTGTATGGGAGATGCACAATTTTGATAGACGAGAATTTCTTAAAAGTAAGCACATGGGAAACTTTGTAAATCTACCTTGACTTTTTGAGAGGGAATGACTAAACGTGCTGTCTCCTTTTCTTCTGACCCTGGTTGCTTCACAAGATAAACATCTTTTATTGCACCACAACAGCTAAATAAGCGCTTTAAGGCTCCCTAAGAAAATTTATTGAAGGCAAAATCATAGTAAGAGTACCACAAGATAGAATTACAATAAAATTATAGCAAGTAGTGAGATTAGACACAATTGGAGTGTACGAACGTGTTCCAAAGGCACTTACTTTTGTGCAATATGGTGGGATATTTACGACAAAAAGCGTCTTATCTGGTGGCTTTTTTGCATCTTCATCTCGTGTGGAATGTCTTTTACAAAACAAAAAGTGGTAAGAGCTACATTTCTCGTTAAATTTTACGCAGATTGTGCGAAATCCACTAACTTCGGACGCCATTTTGATTAACTGCCGAGTAACCGCGCTTCCCTCTAGGGCATGCGTATAAGCGAAGTTGAAAGGGCAAGATGGCGGAAACGTTGGAGACTTTGATTGGTAGAGTGTATTATGTTGAAATTTTGAGTTTCTTTTGGTCAATCTCCCGAGTTTACTTACGGAAAAACTTTCTCCTAGATAAAGCAACGGATCCATCGAAAACAAAGGATGGAGTTGATTACACATCTCCAGTATGTGACAGAATTAATCTAGATCTAGATGGGTAGGTCTTCCTGAAGTTTACCTTTAAATTAAATATTCTATATATTGTGACTGCCAAATACTACTAACCCTAGTACGATATAACATGCGCTTTTGTTATTCGGTGAGATGCAAATATGTAGACGAAACTAGAACAGGAGATTCAGGCTGCGTGTTGTTTATTACTCAAGAAACTAAATTAAGTTTATTGTTAACTTTTAGCTTTAATTAATATTAATTTATTTTTTTGTTTCTAAATAAATATTGTATTGTATTCTTTCTAAATCTTTCCACGTAAAACAACATGGCAGTCCACAAATTGGGATTCGTTACATGGCAACAAAAGTAAAGAGTTCCCATGAAGAGGAAGCAATACTTGGCCTTAATGTGAGTTTTACAATCTGTAAATATCATAACATCCCTTACTGTGCTTTTCCAAAGAAACTCTGAGGTCCAAAAAAAAGCCAACAATCTTGTTAGTCACCTCCTGCAGCTCTTTCAGCTGATGATCTAGGAAACAATGGCACCTTACATATATGCAAAAAGGTCAAAAGGTCATGTTTTGGGTTAAGCTTGGATTCAGGCCCCTCAATGTGGAAAAAAGGGAAAAAATCGGCAAGTAAAGGGAGCCAAGTGATGGCCTAGGCCCAGTCTCTCCTTACTTTTTCTTTTCCTTGCCATGTTCTCATGATTTTTAGCCCCCTTCCCCTAAAACAGATAGCTTGCCCACAGGCTTGTTTATATCCTTATTGTTATAATAATATTATTAATATTATAATAATAATAATTATTATTATTATCATAATCAAACCTGGCCCAGCAGTCAAGGAAAATTAGTACTTGCTGCATTTCTTTTAATTTTGTGGTCATTTATGTAAAGTTTTAATGAAGAAAAGCTTGTAAAACAATGGCTCCAGCAAAGAAAATTGTTCCATTTGAAACAAGCAATTCTCACCGCTTAAAATGGATCAGATTACACAAGAAGATAAGGAAAGCTTCATTGATAAAAAGAATAGAATCGCTTCTGTTGGAAAATCTGATGTTGGGAAAAAAATTCTAACCAGCAAAGAAAAAAATAACAATAAAAGAATTTCCAGCCTTACGGGAACAAAGAGCCAAATAAGACAATACTTTTTTTTTCGAAAGCCAGCCGAGTTTATAACAAACTGAAAATAAAATACTGGTGTGCCATACATCGCATGTCCTTGCCCCTTGAAAACATTTCAAACAGTGCAGCAAAAAATTCTAGTTTCAATTGTGTAACAAAATTGCCCCTGGAAATTTTAAAAGAGACTTAAAATGATTAAACTGCTTAAAATATTTAAATATTTATCTACAAAGTGAAACTGAATCGACAGTAATTTTTGTAGCTGGACTGGTAAGAGAAACAATCACTCTGATTTTTCCCCAAAATATGACCGTTATTCAAGGGTACAGTTTGAGGGCAAGAGATCGTTGTTCATCTCTTCACCGATTTCAGCCAAAGATGAAAGTTGTTAAATACACTCAGTAATTTTCGTACAATATGGTGGATTTACATCTACACGCAAGAAACACGCGTGCAATGCTGCAAATTTCCTGAGGTCTGTACTTACAGAGGCAATTTCACTTTACCAATGATTATAAAATAATGTATTACGCAAGACAATTAAAAAGTAATTCAGGCAACTCTCAATGAATTTACAAAGTAAACCATAAATTTTTATGTATATTACCCTTTACTTCCTGTACCTTTTCATCAGCTTATTGAAGCCTGCGTACAAAACTGTGGCCAGCGATTTCACACAGAAGTTGGAAAATACAGATTCTTGAATGAGCTCATCAAACTTATTTCATCCAAGGTAATAATATTTCTGATTACCACATTATTATTTTGTAGTCGAAGGTGCTGTTTCTTGGGACAGTTTTACCATGGTAAATGATCTGTTCATTGTTGGAAATTTTGTCTTATTAGTGCATGTGACCAGATTTTCCAAAGTTTATTTCCCCTATGCTAATGTTATGGGTCAAATTTGGTTTTAACCTACATGTAGATCAATTCTTCATTTTCTTTGTCTCCTGGTGCTATTAAGAAGCAAAGGAAATCAAGGAACAACCTAGGTTTAATCAAAATTAATCAGAAGTCAAATTTGACTAGTGTAACATCTACAGATAATTATTAATATCAGGGTGCAAAGAAAATCATTTTTACAGCTTGCCATTTGGGCAAGCTGAAGGTAACATGTATTTACTAGCCCAGACGTCATTTCAACTAGCCCCAGAAGCTTTTTGAAAAGCAGAATTGATTTCATAGTTCTTCTGTTATTTGAATCCCTCAAAAAAGATCTCTTGCCCATCAGACAAGTTAAAAACAGAATTCACTAGCCAGATAGCAAAATTCACTAGCCCCAGGCTATCAGACACTACTTTCTTTGCATGCTGAATATCAAAAAATAATACAACAAAGTGGCTATGATCTTTAATGGGTAAGAAGCTAGGGGCTGTCACAACCCATGGATGGCAAGAAAACCTATCTTAATGCTTGATTGTTTGACAGCAACACAAAACTATCATGTACAAATGAAAGAAAATTGTTTATTTTTAACTGTTTAGATCTCGTACTGTCATAAGAGAGAGATCACTGTTATGTCCAGGGTTTTCAATAACAATTTATGGAAGTAGCCAGCGGGTTTGAATAGAGTAACTGACTGTAGCTGTTAGTCCCCTTCTTTTAAGGAGGTCTGGAGGCATGCTCTGTCAGAAAATTTAGGAATTTGAAAGCCCTTAATTGCGATTTCCAGTTTTGAGGGGACTAAATTGAGTACAGATAAGTGTGTTTTTCATTCAAGAAAATATACATGTAGCTTTCATGCAGGTTTCACATCCACACAATCAATTCTTACAAGCAGTGGACAAATGTCAATAATTATTCAAAACTAAGAACATTCGCACATATAATGAAAGTATCAGGTATATTTTAAGGTGAAATTGCACCTGGTTTGCAAGTTTGCTGGCTGCTGACAGATTCTCCATGAATAATTCACTATAACCATATTATCTTGAATGTATTAGCCATTTACCCTCTGATTGCCAGTCTCTTTTTATGTTGATCCCAGTATGATGGAGACTGGACACCTGATGCAGTTAAAAAACGTATTATAGAACTGATGTACAGTTGGACGGTAGGATTACCAAAAGAAACGAAAATTATAGAGGCTTATAAAATGCTAAAACAGACAGGTACAGTAACTATTATATCAAGAAATATGATCATGTACTTTGCTGTAGATTGATTGAGTTTACATTGTATTTATGTTTTTATATGTTATAATTCACAAAGGTTTCTCTGTAGATTTATGTGCTTTGTACCATTCTCTTAAAGTAATATTTATTTAGTTTTTTTATCTTAAAAATGATGAAGTGATATGTAAAGTTAATACTTCCATCAATTTGACTGCACTATCAAGTGGAATGAAATAAAAGAAAACAATCTTGACAGCTTTGACCCTGACTCATACCCAGTTGTCTTTTGTCCTTTGTGGGCTGTAACAGAACAACAGATCCCTTCAAAACCTCAACCATCCCCCCCCCCCCTGCCACCACCTTCCCACACATGCAGCTTGCATGCGCTTTCCTCATTTATTTAAGAGAGACACGGGGGATGACTGGGGAAGAGTCAGGCTTAATGACCTGCCTTGCTGAAGTGTCGTCACAGCTGTTTGTCCACACAACAAGAATTTGCAAGGTCAGTTACGGGGTCATGCACTAAAATGAACTTCAAAAAACAAATTGGTGTTCAGGTGTCGCCCTTTAATTCCTAAACTGACTGGATATACATGGGTAATCATACATCATGAATAAAGAAAAACTTAAATAATAATTGCATTTCCCAAGGACAAAAGAGTGTCCCCAATCATGCTTCATGAAAAAAGTATAGGGGACATTCCTTGCTTTCTCTACAGTTTAATTTGCCATGATTGTTATTTTTGCAGGAATTGTTACAACGGACCCTCAAGATCCCTATGCGAAGCCTGTAGTACGTATTGACTATAGTGCTGTTGATGTTGTTATCTTAGTTATTAATTTATTTGTGTAGTACGGTATCCCCTAATTGGAAGGTAAAGGGTAGTTGAAAGTATACTGTAGTTATACAGTGATAAAAGTTTTGAATTTTATATACAGGCTGTATAGCACCATGCACTGACCTTGAGGGAGATAAAATATTACCTCCCGAAACTGTCGTGAAACAGAACACCATAATATTAACTCGTGCCCTAAAACAATGAATATTATACAACTATCCCCCAAAGGGGAGATGAATAGTGGTGGCTATACACCGAGACGCGAAGCGTCAAGGTACATATTTAGTGCTGTTCATCGACCCTGAGGGGAGTAGTTGTTTTAGTATTTACCAAGTCAGTTGGAGAAAAATGGAAAAAGTAACTTTTTGTAAATTAAAAATGTCACTTTGTAGGAACTTTGTTTACAATTTACAATGATGAATTATTTTGATTATGGTTTTATGTGATATTTCTTATTGATTCGATTACATAACACTGAATAAAAATATGTGTAAACTTTTGTTGACATTTGTATTAATATTATTGTATTGCCTGCAGCATGCAACTTAACTTGCCCGATGCAAAGTGAATTTTTTGGGAAATTTAAATGACAGAACATCTGTAATCAACCCTGCTCCTCAATTTTTTTTGGCTAATTAAAATGACTGTTGGGTTAGTACATGTTATAGCTGCAGCTTGCCCAAATGGCAAGCTGTAAAATTGAATTTCTTCACACCCTGATAACTGGTATTAAATAGTTTATTATTTTTTGTTTTTTACTAGTCTAATGTTTAAACTGAGGTTGCAGGGAGCATTTTCATTTTTAGTAATATTATTTGTCAGGATTTCTTTTTATTGGCAGTTGATTTACAGAAACTTTCACACTCTTTCACATCTCATCAATACAATAATATTCTTACTACTTTATTTACACATGTGATCTTTAAAAACCTAACATGAAATGCTCATTATTTTAAGTTAGTATAAGTTAAGAAAAATACGCTGGTCAGAAATAATGATTTTATGATACATGTGACAATTTTGTTGATAGGATCCACCACCTGAAAGACCCAAAGATACAATATTTGAGGATGAAGAAAAATCAAAGGTTAGCTTTTTTGAATGGTATAACTTGATATGTTTTTTTGATAAGATACATGTAAATCCTGTTATCTTTTGGGTATGTATAATTATGTAAAAAGTTATAAATATTTTTATAGCTTGGGATTTGAATGATTATGCTATTAAAGGAATACAGTTTAGGTTATATTCCTTAGGAATATCTGGCAGATTTTTGCTGACCTGCCTATTAACATAAGTTTATTCATCTACCAAAATATGCATGCATGACTGTTAACTAAGTTGTTTTCATTTGTACATTTGTACATTGTTTATTTAGCTTCTGTCTCGGCTGTTGAAGAGTTCACATCCAGAAGATTTACAAGCTGCAAACAGACTAATTAAGACCATGGTCAGACAGGTAACAAGGGAAGATTATTTCCTCTAGGGGTGGATGGACTTTCACACAAAAGTGACAGGGATGCTTGTCTGAAAACTAAAATTAAACCCCTAAGGTAGACTTATGTGGGTGTGGCTAAAGCTTAAATTGACCTCTAAAGGACACCATACTAAGACAGCCATCTAACTAAGAGCAAGAGTGTTTTTTCTTGTGCTAAAGATGTTGGCATAGAACGCATTCATCTATGATAAGATTTCATCAGCGTTGTAAATTTCTTTACACGTAACCCTAAGTGATACACAGAGAAAATTGAGAATCAACCTAGCTTTAAAAGATTTTAACCTTAATTTAATTTTGACTTGTGACATATCCATGTTTTTAAGACATGGGGGTGGTTGATACCAATCGGACACAAAACAAGACAAAAAAGCACTTGCCTAGTTGTTGCTAAAGTTTATAATCCCAGAGCAGCTCATGTACTAGGACAACCAACTCCTTTTTCATGAACATCAATTTTACCCTATTTTCTTTGGCAAATTAATGTTGCTTACCTTTAGGACAACATGCAATTGAAGCAGGATAGCTTGACATGACAGGTTGCTCTACCAGCACCAGGCTATTGAACAGGACTTTTGTTGCACACTGATGAAGCAATAAACCAAACTTTTGAGTGAAATAATCTGTGTTTCTCATAAATTAAATTGGATTACTTCCTGGAACTAGTGAACTGCCTTAGATTGTAAATTTTATGAATACTTCTACAATTTGAGTATTGTTCTAGATGTGTTATCCTGTGAAATAATATGTGATCTGTTGTATTCATTTTGATAAGGATGAAATGAAGATAGAACGGCAAGTGAAAAGAAACACAGAAGTAGACACATGCTGTAATAACATCAAACTGTTAACAGAGATGTTGAACCACTACAGCCCGAGCTCTCCTGCCCAGGACAAAGAGTTGATGAAGGTAAAGGAGCATAATCTTCATGGTCCAGTGAACTTGTAATAATTTAACAGGCTGAATTATAAGCTTCACGCTCAGTTTACACACTAATAGGGACTTCAAGCTAATCGCTATGGTGACCTCTTATATGACTATGGCAGTCATGGACGTGGAGTCCTGGGGAGAGTACGGTACTGTAGCCTGCCAAATTTCAACTTTAAACAAGCAGTGTCCAAACAGTGACTATGAGGTTTCTTGCTCATTTGCTTTTATTGTCAGTAAAATGTAGGGAAGACGTTATTACGGAAAACTGGAAGCGTCAAATATTGTCTTGATAAAATGAAAAAGAACCTATGATAGGTTTTAAACCAGTGATTGTAAAAATAGGAAAAAAGTCGACTTATACCCACATTAGTAGCTACTGCACCACAAGACTGACAGGTTTTCACATTATAGGATTTGGCACTACGGCGAACTGTCATTTCCAAGCATGTGCACTGCGTTATTTTAGGGCTTTAATAGAGGTCGCCATAGTGATTTGCCTAAAAGCCCTGATATTTATCTCCTACTTACAGACATTAGCAAACCATGCCAGCTGCTCTTTGTGATATGCTTCTTAGTTAAATTGCTGCTCTTTGTGAATTTATGCATCTAAATAAAATTGCATTTAACTGCATTTAATTTATGAAGATGATGTGAACTACAGAAATACAAATTTTGAATGGAGACATGATTGTCACGGTGGGTATTGCACTTTAAGCAATTGCAAATACCCCCAATTTTTTTTCGGGACTTCAACAGGATTCAGACCCATGGCCTCTGCATTTATGCTGCAGTTTTCTACCATTTGAGCTATGAAGACCCATTCATTGGGAGAAGGCCATTTTGTTGAGTTCGTCTTAACCCGTGAAAGGAATGAAACATGAAACATGCATTTAATTTAATCCTCAGCTTTTGAGGCTGTTTGCTTTGTATACTGGACTTCTGCTCTTGTTATAATGACTTTGTATACATATTGTTGTTTAATTGATAGGAGCTTTATGATGCCTGTGATAAGATGAGACCACAGCTGTTTAGATTAGCAAGTTCAGCAACAGAAGATGGTGATGAGGGGCTAGGTCAGATAAATCAACTTTGAAAAGCTCCTTTTGTTCTAATCAGATATAAAGATATTTTTAGATGATTTAGGATCTGTACTTCTCCTGGGTTGTCTAGAAAATACCTGGAAAGTCAGAATTTTCTTCCAATGCTCTACTGTAGAAAACAGCAGTTGGATATTTCTCCTTATTTACATGCATCCTCCTTTGATTGTTTCATTTAGAAATGAGTTAATTTCCATGAAATAACTAAAAAGCACCTCATAGCGTTTAGTTGATTATGACTAATCTGTGTCTTAGGCCCGGTTTAAACATTGCATTTCACATGTGCTGAATCAAATTTAATGCTTGTGTGGAAAATCTATGGTTCTTGCTCATTTGCATTAGATTCAGCACAAGTGCATGCAACAGTTGAACTGGGCCAGGTTGTTAAAAGTAGGGTTAAGATAACCTAGGGGTAGAGCGAAATTTGAATCAGATATGAAAGCCTAAACAGCAAATTCAGTTATATTCTTAGTCTACAATTTGATCATTGGATGCTCTAAAAAGAATATAGAAAGTTATCTGGGAAAATGCTTTTTGAACAAAAGAAAAAGAAACCCAGGTTAAAATTTAATCCTAGGTTAGCGTTAATGGCCTTCGAACAACTAGGCCCTGGGCGTTAAAATTTTCTGATTCATTTCTGGAAAACTCTTGGAATTTTGCTTTCTGTGGGAAGAACCAACCCTGGGCTACGGCGTTAGTCATGGCGGGTGTCTTTCATAGCTCCGTTATTATTGGCAAAAAAGTTTTCCTGTGTAGACATAAGCACTTAATATGTTGGCGTATTCTGTTCTTGATGTCTACATATTAAATTGTAACAATACAAGACTAGTATCTAACTCGGAAACCTAACGGTTTATTTAGATGCTAGGTATTTCCTTACCTGTAAATTATGTATTTTTAGTTTTACAAATATTATATTGCATGTAACATGCAACATAAAACTACCTTGCCTAAAGCGAAATGTGAATAAAGCTTGTTGTTGTTGTTTGTTGTTTGTTGGTAGTTGAATGCAGCAAATCAAATTTAATGCATGTTTTTTTTTTCTTATGAAACACAAAGAACTAACTATGACTGTTGTGCTCACTTTTTCAGCTGAAATCCTACGGGTAAATGATGATCTATCAAGAGTGTTAGAGTACTACCGAAAGATATTTGGATTAGCCCCTGGCGTGTCCGCTAGGACTGAACCAACACCTCCTCCAACAACTCAGACTGCAGATGTACAAGAGTTGTCACCAGGACCTGCGTCCACACTTATTGATTTAGGTTTAGGAGGTCAGACAGCTGAGTCAGCAGAAACACCTGCTTCTAGTGTACTGGAAAACGAACTTAAGGCCCTTGGTAAGTATTGCGGTATTTATGTCAATCACGGTTGTCGCGTAACGAGAAGAGAAGCGTGACAGCACAAATAATCGAATTTATGAAATTGTGGGATTGGTTAGTAAATTCAGAAAGAACAAGATGAAAAAAGCGTCCTCAGTCTGTAAGTGCAAATTGGCAATGTGCTGATGACCCCAGACAAATCCTTCTAAAATTGGCTTGGTACTTAACGTTTACGGTACATGCCTATTTTAGAAAGATTCATATGGAGTCATCAGAGGATAACTTTGCTAGGGAAAAAGGGAAATGTGGCCGAAAATTTGCCCTCTTTTTGGTGTTATCACTGTATTTGTGTACTGATCAATAACAAATGTTCATGCAATTGGTCTTCTTCCTGGAGTTCAGTTTGCGCAAACACACCTTTAAAGGTTGTCTCTGCCGTCTTAATATCTCTTTCAAAATTTACCCATATATTTTGAGTACAACAAAGTGTACACTAAATTTTAAACCTCTTTTTTTACGCTTGTTATTTGATTTATTGGTACTACTTGATAATTGTAACATTTTTTTTTCAGGGCTTCATGACCTTGATGCTCCACCTGCACCCTCCACCGTGCATTTGCCAATCCAGGTACAGTTTTTTTGAGATCCATCAATCACAAGATACAATACATGTATTTCATTCAGTTTGTACTTCGTATGTAAAAATGAGGGATAGCCTCGAAAGTCCCGGTAATCAAATATTCAAATCAAAATCTAAAAAATGAGAAGGTGGGTGCTACATGAAGCTAACAAACCAGTCCATTTTGTTGCATGTTATATGCAAAACTATTGAAAGACTGCTTGATCTTGAATAAAAACAACAGTTACAGCTTTCCGGGCCCGTTAATTATTGGGACTTTCGAGAATCAGGCCCCAGTTTCGTAAGGAGCCCTAAATTCACTTTTATGCTGTGTGTAAAATTACCACAGGGAGCTCAACAACCAGCCAGTATGGGACCTTGGGGAGCACCAGCTCAGAATTTTGGCATGGGCCCAACGAATATGTCTTCAACAGTAGGCGTGGTCCGACCCATGGGTCAATACCAAACACCCGGTGTGGGCCCGCCTGCTTATATGGCAACAGGACAAATGCCTAGAATACCTTTTCAAACGATGGGACTGGGAGCAATGTCAATGCCACCCAGACCAGGTCCAATGAGCATGGGCTCGAGTAGCCTCACCATGGCAACCACTGGGTCCGGAGGCCGAGGAACAGTGAACAGGAAAGGAAAAGAGCCAACAAAGCCTCCAAGTGCTCTGGACCTTCTGGGTCAGGAAATGCTGCAGACACAGAAACAACAACAGAAACAGAAACAGACTGTAACACCATTACAGGAAAAAGCAGCACCCGAGCAGCAGCAGCAGCAGCAGGTTACAGGCCCGTCAACAGACAGCTTACTATCACTTGGGCTTGAGCCAAGTCCTGCATTATCACCACAGCCTGCTGGTTTACTTAATTTAAGTTCCAATTCACCTGCAAGCTTCGTTTCTGTCACATCACCACCTAAACCAACTGTACCAGCCGCCCTGGACAATGTATTTGTGCCTTTAGATACCATAAAACCAGGTAAACAGTCTGAATGGTCGGTTATTTAAACGAAGTCTAACTGGCCAGTCTAACTTAAAGCCGCGGTTTAACAAACCTTTAGACCTGCAGATTTTTTCCTTAGTGAGCTATTGCTTGTCTAGGCTACTCCAAAAGCTTTCATAAAACTGGTGTTTAGATAAAACCGTTAGACTAATTGAAAATGGCTAACGACGCGGTTTTGTTAACCACTGGCGAAATTACGTTGAAATAACTGCCCCTAAGCCTCTATTCATATCATTGCTTTGGATTTCCAGACTGGAATTATTTAAAATAGTGACTTTCTTGAACAATGTGTTTACCTAGTGAAACTTTTTATCCGCCAGTCGGAGAATAGACTTCAAAACAGCCTCACTTTTGTCAGATAAAGTCAAGCAAGCGAAAAACACGAGTGCACAGGACACCACTTCCTGTGAAAATACGTCAAACGTGAAAAATCGACACAAGCTAGTTTCCCCGCTAAACGTATCCGTAATACAGAGAGAGTGTTCTGCTTGAATTAACCATTCCGAAAGCTGAGGAAGACAGAATGATAATCTGTTCCCTTTGCTTTACGTGGTTGCTCGTCTAATGGAAATGATATGGCTAAAAATCGAGAGATGTCGTTCGTGTACTTTGCGCACATGCGTGTTTCAGTAAACTGGCACCACATTCCTTCGTTCGGCCAGGGCCTTTGTTTTTAATGCGTTGATAGTGTTCGCTAGTAATTATTTTAATCATACATTTCTCCGATTTTGTACTTTATGGATTCGCTGTCATTTTGAACGTGGAATGAGATAAAATTTTATAGTTCAGCCGGAAGAATCAAGCCATAACGCTTTTCCTTTTCATTTCTTTAGGAAGCCATCCACCACTAACAATTCTTGACAAGAACGGTATCAGAATAATTTTCCATTTTGCAAACGTAAGTCCTGGTGGTGTGAGCGATGTCCTGTTGTGCGCGGCGATGAATGTTTTATATTGTATGCATTCAGTACAAATTATTAACTCTATAGTGCGAGTCTTAAGGGAGTAACGCAAGCAACAAATCATCATCATCATCTGTAACATTAACGTCATTTGTTAGTACAGCCATCACAAAAACGCATCGGTTATCATCTATCCCGGGATCAGGCTCCTTTGGTGGAGGAAAAAGGGAAAACATCGCGAGCGAGCCGTCTTCTCACGAATTTTTACCCCCCACTTTCCTTACAGGGAGAGCTAGTTCACAGGCCACTCATCATCATTATCATCATCACCACCACCACCACCACCACCATCATTATCAGGGTAACTCATCGGCTAGCCCTTCTAGTCAGACTATTAATTTACTTAACACTTTGACAATTTGTTCCGCTTAATTTACAGACAAGTGCAGAGTTAAATAGGAATGATCTAATGATAGTTGTCATATCCACCATGAGTTCGCTGTCTTCAGCGGTTAAAAATTTTATCTTCCAAGCTGCAGTACCAAAGGTAAGAGGATAAGAGGTTTCTCTCGAGCATTATGTCTTTTCTCTGTTTATAAACCTTTGCTGATGGGGCGGGGCAGGGTAGGGTGCACTTATTAGCTGCTTTGGCCGAAGGAAAAGGGAGCTTATTCGGAAAAAGTGAGCTCAGTGAAATTTGAGAGCCTTTTGGATGAAAAACAGTATGTCCATGTTTTCCATTTTCTTGTTTTCGTATTTGTATTTTTTGTACTTATCAGCTTCCTTTCCGGGCCTCTGTGATTAGCGTATACCCGTGTTTTCACCTTCATTTACTTTTTGCGGGGGAGCAAGGCTGGCGCAGTGGTGAGAGCACCCGCCTCCTACCAGTGTGGCCCGAGTTCAAATCCCGGCGTCGACGCCATATGTGGGTTGAGTTTGTTGATGGTTCTCTCCCTTGCTCCAAGAGGTTTTTCTCCGGGTACTCCGGTTTTCCGCTCTCCTTAAAAACCGACACTTCCAAATTCCAATTTGATCTGAAACGCACGGACACGTTTCAACGAGTTCTTAAGAACTCCTAAGTGCTCCGTGGGCAAACAAATTACAATTTTGTTTTACCTCAAATCTCTTTGACCGGCCCCATTTGTGGAAAATGGGTCACCGGCAAGGTTCCAGTACTCGCACGAAGAGTACATATGAATTTCGGACGTTATTGTGGGGTCTTGCTTTGTTTTGCAGACGATGAGAGTGAAGCTTCAGCCTCCATCAGGGAGTGAGTTACCGGGTTATAACCCCATCCTTCCTCCTTCAGCCATCACTCAAGTCATGCTGATAGCTAACCCCGCAAAGGTAAGCTCTGTCATTGCTAAACTGCTGAGTGGATAATCCTTCTGAGCGTGCGTAAGGCATCATTCCTTTTTTCCTTTGAGGTACAATCTTTCCCTTGTTGATGATTTAAATTGCGAAAGGTTTCTGACAGCGGTTTTTGGCCTCTACTTGTTTGTTTTGTTTTGTTTTGCTACGGAGTACCAAGAAACAAAATCTGACCAGTGTACTTAAGTTTACTAAAACGTGTTTTCGTGACGTTATTGCTTTATTAAGATGTGTAAAGGTCTATGAATGAATTCTCTTAACATACGAATGGGTGCTTAAACTCATGGATACATTTTTGGGCAATTGATATAACTAAGTTTGCGCTAAAGAGGGTAAATTCAAAATAGCTTGTAATCACCAGGAACTGAAATTCGCGCTCAGACTAAATGTTGTAAAAATATAGCTATTCATGTGTTTGAGGCTAAGAATCGTAAATGTTAATTCTAGTAAAATTGTTTCTATATCACAGGAAAAGATCAGATTGAAATATAAAGTTAGCTACGAAGTGGACAGCGTCCCAAACACAGAAACCGGAGAAGTGGACAGTTTTCCCAATATCCAGGAATAACAGATAATTACCCGCCGGCGTCTACCATTACTGAAAATTAAGGTGCGGATTTTAATTAGCGGCTGGGTTTCAGGAGGTGGTTTCTGCTTGCGTTGAATAACACTTTCTATTTAAATTAAAGAGAACGATTTTAGTTAAGATGTAATTATTACTGAAATTGATATATTGTCTTTAAGGCCTAGCCTATTTTCAAGTAGTTTTCCTCGTGTCATTTGGTACCTATGATCTGAGGCGAATCACTGAATTTGCTTCACCGAAGAAGATACTTTATTCTCCAAGATACGAATCATTTTGTCATCATAAACTCCCAATCAGTTAATATTTCATCTTTGATTCATAAAGTAGCTAGTTGTCGTTTCAGTGGGAAGGTTTATTATATGGCTGATTCCGCAGCGGCAAGATGCAGTGAGTTCTGTGCCCTGATTGGCCCATCTTGCTCGCTGGGGATTTCCCGCGTTGGTCCCTCAAGAGAAAGTTCTCTTTTTGGCCGTATGATGAATAGAGGATATTACATGGCCGCGCGGAGCGCGAACGAGTGAAATATTTTTCAACACGAGAAGAGAAATTTCGTATCTCCAAGCGGCCATGTAATGATCTCTTTATTATGTAAACACCAATGAAATGCTAAACCATTTCACTTAAATATTTTTTTTGCTGCGAAAGGCGCGATTTATTGTGAAGCCATAGCAACGGTGATCTTTTCACATGTGAAAATAACGTGTGAAGATTTCATGTTTTCACGCGAAAGCCCACCTGGTATTTCATTGGTGTTTATATATAGAGGATATTACACGGTGGCGCGAAGATATGAATTTTATTTTCGAGTGGCAAAACAATATTTTACGAACGAGCCCAGCGAGTGAGTAAAATATTGTTTTTGCCACTCGAAAATAAAATTCGTATCTTCAAGCTGCTGTGTAATGTTCTTTTTATTATATAGACAAAAACACATCGTTAAAATAATAGATTTTTAATCGCCAAAAAGTAATTGTGTCAGACGGCTCAAATTTACAGTACAGCGATATAAGACATTGTTTACAATAATATTGAGAAATAACACTGAGCTGAATAGTGCTCTACAATGACAAAATATAAGCAAAACTTTGAAAAATGTGTACGTAAAATTCCAAAAAATGATACGTAATAAAATTTGTGAGGGAAATTACCGAAATTACGTCATCAATAAACTCACGTGTGAGATTATGGAAAATAAACCACTCGGGTCCCGGATGTAGTTTTTTGTGAATGTTACGAGTGGTATATTTTCCAGTAAAACACTCGTGTCTATATAATAAAATAAGTTCTTGTTCGGTTAAGATGGCTGGATGTTGATCTTGTTCTTTTTTGCACTGGAAAAATCTCATAATACGCGTTAATACTGAAAAGAAAAGTAATAACAACAGCAAAAAACAAAACCCGAAGCTAATAAGTTGAACATACGTTGGTACTTCCAAGAGGTTTCATTTGAACATAACGACGTAATTCACACGATTCTTTCTTCTCTGAGGTATCTTGCGAATAAAGCCTCAGTTCTCTTCAGCGACGGGAGGCGATATGAGGCTGCTTCGGCGGTACTGATGATGATATATTCGCAGGATACCTCAGACATATGCTCTAATATAGCCGCCTCCTCCTCAGGCATTTCGCTTTCTGCATGGTTTCGCATAGAGACGAGCGCGAAACGCGAGTGACTGGTGACGAAGCGCAAGGGACCATCGAGAGAGAGACGTCTGGGTGGGTACGATGCAGTACTCAAATACATTTCTTCGCAGTTATCGAAGGGAATGACAACCTTCTTGAGCTCATTTTCCATTTTTAAGTGCTTGAATCATCGATATGTTTAAAATTAAAATAACTGCAACTCCTTTAGTTGTTAACTGTTAACTGATTACCTTGGTCAGAGCTCAGGTACAACTCGGTTAGGAATATAAATCAATGAAAAGTGTTTGTAATAATAATAAAATTATTGTCAGGTAACGGTGTTGGGGTTTTGTGTGTTTCATTATCTTTTGCGCATTCTTCCATCCTTCCTGCCATTCTACCCTTTCCCCTTCCTCTCTCCCTCTTTTCCCCTTGCCTCCTTTCTTTTTTTCCTCCTTTTCCCCTTTCTTCTTCCCTTCTTCCGTGTCTCCTTCCTCCTTCCCTTCCTCCCTTCCTCCTTCCCCCTCTTCTTCCTCCTTTCTTCTTCTTCTTCTTCCTTACCTCCCTCTCTTCTTCCCTCCCTCCCTCCCTTCTTCCCTTCCTCCTTTCCTCCCTCCCTTCTTCCCTCCCCCTCCCTTCTTCCCTCCTCCCTCCCTCTTTTCCTCCCTCTCTCCCTCTGCTGATGTTTTATTTCCCGAAACGTCTTCGAATTCTTCCCGAGACAGTTCTTTATTTGCCCGCTTTATCAAGTCGTAGTTTTCCAGCTAATAGAGCTTTCTCTTTTACTACCGCTTCATAGGTTATCAGCATGTGAGTTGGGTTTTTTTTCGTGGAACTTTATTTTACTCATTCGTCTTTTTGTCAGTGCCATTTTTTTTTACTCGGAAACAGTTGCTCGTAGTTTTAGTCCCTTCCTTGAAAGCAAGAGAAAAAAGTCGCCCCAGTTTTCCGTCCTATTTTACCCAAAATTTGAGACACTTGTGAAAGAGAAATCAAATCACCGCTTTCCAGAAGGATTTACACTATAACGGATACCGTAATTTGTTTTGACTACCTTGACGTCATTTCTAAACCCCTTGTGTCACCCGCTGACCTACAATAATAGTTAAATATCACCGCAGTAGTTAAAGGGCAACTCTCGCGTAGGACATCATTTTTCGGGAAAACCTTGCAAATGTTTCCCTTATTGTAATACCACCAAGAAATATATCTTACGCGATCTATTTGGGTCAGAAATCGCAATTGAAAGTGTCCAATTTGCCGCTCACTCGATCTTCCGCCATTAACGCTTCGATTTCGTTGATCACGTGACGTTACGTCACACGTGTGGAACAACAAATGATCTCTAATATGGCCGACTCTAGTTCTTTGAGCGATAGCTCTACCTCTTCGTCCGATTATTCAGATATAGAAGAACTTTTAGAATGCGAAGCACCCGAAAGTAGAGGGCAGCCCTTCACAGGGATTCAACCCTGGCGTTTTGAGCCGCCTGGAAGATCTCACGAGGCTGACGAAGTTCGTGAGTCGACTGAAAACATCGAGCCTGCCACGCGTCGCTGCGATCTCGATAGTGAAGAATGGTGAGTGCCCAGATGGTATATAACATTTGTTATGTACAATGCGATCCAAATATCGCTCGATTTCATCAATGTTATGGATTATCTAAATTGTAAAAGGAAAATGACTAATTAAACACGCACCTTTTTTATGGAAATCGGAGTGTTTATAATTTTGAATGTTTCTCACATGCACAAGTGCTCGAAAGCGTAATTTTCCCTTGCAACGGACTGCTCGAAATGATAATCTGGGCAAGTTACTTCAGTGTATTTTTTTAAAATTTCTGGTTTAATAGTGGTTTTGCCACAAGCATAGGTTCTTACCAAAACTACGCTCTCGTAATCTGTTGACTGTAGTAAATATATTTACATTTGTTTATCGTTACCCCATTGACAGCTGTTCATGTTCATGTAGTTGTTATACAGTGTACATAACATTTGAAAGGCGCTGTATAGTTTTGCCCTTACAAGTCGTTCACTAATCTTTAATGTGTGTCGTTCTGTCATTGAATGTGGTTAACAAGTCATTATTCTAGCTTTCGTGTATCCTGATGTTATTGTGAAAAGTTGGTCTTTATGCGCCCATGTGAATATTAACTGCTTGCATAAAGGTTTCTTCTCCTCGGTATATAATATTCGAGGCTGAGACATATTTATATTCACTTATGTTTTTGTCTTGAGCATAATAATGGTTGTGTAACTTTATTCACAATAATATTGCATTTGATTTGATATAGCCACAGGAACTTTGTTCTCGATTATTTTTTGGTTATGGACATGAGATACTTTAATAAGGCCATAAACATTGAAGTGTGAATAAGGCAGTTTGATAAGTTTCGGGTGCAGAATGAAAATGTCAATATTCAACACTTGTCTTTTGCCTTTCATTAGCCAGACATTCACTTTTGATCATGAAAAACATAACTGCTCTTGATTGTTTGCAAGGTGCTTGTGTGGCTACTGCCAGAAAATGTGGCGGGAGGAGGAAAACATCTGCTGCCAAGAGGTGGATGTTGTAAAGCGTAAAAATTTGGAGGCAGTTGGCGTTGAAAATATGGAGGAGCCTCAAAAGTGCATCGTGGAACACCCAGGATTCCAGGCAGTTTGCCTGAATTACTGGGTGTTACAAGCTGCATGGCTGCGATACAAGCAGCAGTATGGTGCCTCGGCATATGAGGGATCAGATCATAAAAAAGCAGGCACATTGCGTACAGGCAATTGGTAAGGTGGTGCTGGGGCTCCCTTGGAAAGGACATAAGAGTTCCTTACCATCATGTGCAGTTAACTGCATACGGGCTCATTTCCAGGAGCCTGAAAGGCTGGATGATGAGATGGAGTATACAGGATTTCAATATGCAGATGAATAAATATAAAATATTTTTCAAATAACCCTGCTGTATATAGAATATTATAATGTAATTTTCTCACTCACCATTGGAAGATTGGCGTAGGGATACTTGGTTGCCATGAAAATGGTTGCTACCAGCAAACAAAATGCCCCTTACTTTTAAATATGTAGCATGGAAGTGTCAACAAAGAAAGGGGAACTACAAAGTTCACTTTAAGACTACATGGTTTTTTAAAGCCCGGTGATGTGTGGGAAATACATAATTATTCTTTTTATTTGCTCAAGGCTTGTGATTGGATGGTTAATCCTCATTTAAAAAAAAAATACTCTCAATTGACTTGTTTCTATCTTCCATATTAATAAATGATTAGACAACAACGATACACAAAGTTGTTCACAGTTTACAGTCCCACTACTTGAACCAGGGTACTTGGAAGAAGATTATCTAATCATTAATTTTCAGTTTGCAATGGACCAATGACATTTATGAATTTGAGAGCTGTTTTCCTGAGAGGTAAGTTGAGTTCAAACTGTTTAAAGGTTTCAACGTATGCATTGTTGAAACAAAATTCAGAATCTTCTGTTTTCAAAAAACTTTTTCTTGGATACTTTTCTTCCAGGTGTCCGGTTCAAGTGAAGACCATATAGCACATGATCATTTTAGTCACAGTAGTGACATAATTTTTAGCCTAAAATAGTTTTTTCAAGCATTCCATACTGAAGGGCATGCTAGTCTTTCTTTAGTTGACTAGGCTGGAACGATTGTATCTGCTAATGAAAGAATTTATTGCCTCCTCTCTGTTGGGTCTCTCTATGGAGGCAGCAAGTGGTGGTGGGGTATTCACTTGCAGGTTCAACATGTAGGTCTTTAAGGCCCTTGAATTGTCTTCATAGCCGGCAAAGACTTTGGTTATGGTACTTGAGCAATAACCTAAAATAAAAAGGTACGTAATACTGTAGGAGTGAACCTCAAGTTTAGTTATTGAAATGTTTTCATTCAGATGTCATATCTGTCTGTGTGACATGAAATTCACAGGTTACTGTGCTATGTGAAAATCATTTTTACCATAAGCAAATGTGGCTGCAGATAAAGGTTGCCTTAACAAATGATCTCAAAATATACAGAACAGCAATTTAATTTTTACAATATTCTTCTTCAGGGGAATGGAAACATCTATGTTATAAGTATCCTGTGTACAGCGCCCCCTCCCCTCAGTAAAAAGCTGAGAAGGGGCCCCTTCTCCATTTTTATCCAAGGGGAGGGGGGGGGACTATACACAGGCTATGTTTTAACTATTTACCCACCATAGGTTGCTTTTGTTTTAACTTCTCTCACTGAATATCCCCCGTGTTTGGCTTTAGGAAACCTGATGGCATAGCGTGGTCTCCCGTCTACAGTTGCAGCTTGCATCCTGTCAGCATTTTCATTGTAGTGCAGAGCAGAAAGGCACAGTCTGAAAGGTTCATATTTTTAGAGGGGCGGGGAAAGAACCATTAGGCTAACTTTAAGTAAAAGGAAAGAGTCCATAGCTTAGAAGAAGAAAATAATACTGAAAAAGAAATTAAAGGAAAACAATAGACCAATCTCAAAAGTTTATTATGGTAACTATTAATCCATTAGAGACACAAACCTTGTGTACATCCCCAGTACGAGAAAGCGGTATGTTTTGGGACGAAGTGTAGATCAAGGCTATGTTTGGCTTCAAGGGCGGAAGTCTGGTACTTAGGGGACAGCTGAGAAATGTCCTTCAGCAGTTGGGGCTTTGTTACCAGCTCCTCGAGCTTGACAGCAGCAGTTGAGCCTGTGAAATTGAGGACCTAGTTGTCGTCAAAATTCCCGTACATAAAGGTGACTGTTTGTAAATGTTTGTATATATGTGCCTTTTCTCGTCACGTTATAACGTTTTGTCGTTTTTTTTAGAGTGGTTCATTTTAATTTCCTGATTAGTGAATTAGTGGACACCTTTTCTGTCATCTAAACAGTGTTAATGACACTGGCCTTATTCTAATTAAAAGGTTTTCCTTGATTCTGACAGAAAATGTAGCCTTCTATTCTATAACTTGAGATGGCAATAGAGGAATTACTGGATGTTATTTTTTTTTTTTGTCTACAAACCTGGTTGAAGCCAAAGTCTATCCCTTGCTTCTCCCTCTAGTTCACCATGTCCACACTCTTTGTAGAGTTCGCTGCTCTGATTGACGTGAATGTTCTGGATGTGCAGGGGTAATATTTTCCATTTTTCCTGCATCGTACGCCCATTACCATCTGGTGTCGTGGCAGCACACCAATACATATGATTT